GAAAATGAATAAAAATTTTGTTTGTGAACTAAACAAACTTGATTATGAACTGAAATTTGTCATATGAAAAATTGAAAAACCCAATTGCAAATTGAACGCCTGCATATCGTCATTTTTTTTCAAACAACTGCAACATATACACATAAATACATGTATACATGTTGGAAAGAGACCATACTTTATACAGTATTGTATGAATTCTAGCAAACTGTTGGCATTACTCAATTTAAAGTTTGTCTTTTCAATTTTCCTCATTTTATTTTTCTGGAAATTGTCCAATTTATTGAAAATAGAAGTTCATCGTGAAAATGTAATAAAACTGTTGTTATCCAAATTCATCATGCATGTATAATATAAAAGTATGTGTATGTTGGTTGGGTTGCAAGTCGGCCGTATTCTAGTTTCTTAGAGTTTTTATGATTTTTATTAAAAAAAAACGGATGGAGACTATAAACGAGGACTAATTGATTTTATGATTTTTATTGGAGGCGTTGTATAATGATCAGACTGATAACTATGACACTGGTAACGATTACGATGATAATGGTAAAAACCCTGATGACTATGACATTGCTCGTGGTCATGATGGTAGTAATGAAGTTTGGGCAGAGTCCAACTTACTCAATAATAATTTACATCTTGATCATAATGAATTTCTTACACTTGTCAAACAGTTTTCATATAGAAACATGCAGATGCATCCCCACGTACTTCATACTGAATGTGTGAGGTGTTTCAAGAAAAAATATCAAAAAGATCAATAAAACTTTTTCATTTACGCAATCTAGTCTTCCTTTTACTTATCGATCACCTCAATAACTTACTAACTCACTAAGTAGTCCATTCATAAATTACTTTATTAATTTGCCTTTTTATACCATTACTTTATTTCATTTTCAATACTTTTCATGTCTAAACATTTTTCTTACACCGTTTTTTATTTATTTATTAATTTATTTTTCGTTACCATTTTATACTACTGCCTTGCATGCTGCAACAGTATCTGCGTCTGTCAGATTCTGATTTTTTAAAGAAAAATACTAATAATAAAAGACCCATAACAACAACTCAAAGCACTTGAAGTTATAAAAATAAAAATTGAAGAGCAACTAACTTGTGAGCTGATTGAAACCTCTACATGCTTATCTGGCTCATCTGAATGAAAATAAAAAATTAAAAAAAATAATTTTAAATTGATGAAAACAAGCCTTACACTTGCCTTTTCAAGTTATAGAAATCATTATTAAACATAAAATAGATATCTACATAAAAGAAAATAATATTTTGAGCTAATGTCAATTTGGACTTAAAAGGGGTTTAACTTCAGAAGATGCCCTTCTTAAATATGTCAATGATAATAATATTTTCCTTAATAAATCATTGTTAGCAGTTGAAATCTTTGTAATTTTTTCGAAGGCCTTTGATCCAATTGATCATTAATTGTTGATTGATAAGATTTTTCGTTCACACCTCTTTGAACCATATTTGGATTCCAGAAATCAGTAAGTCAGATATGATGGAAATAATTGAAAGTTATCATTAGTTACAAGAGGTGTACCACAAGGTAGCATCCTCTGTTTCTTCTAGTTTTTCATTATTTATAAATGATATCGTGCACTATTGAGACACAAGTTGGCTCACTTAGGGTTTCAGCGATAAATTTTTTGATTCATTATACCAATGGTCTAGACTGAACGGACTGAACATTAACATCAAAACAACAAAGTATTTAAGTCCAGTGTAGCTGACCAAAAATTTAATAAACTGACATCAAGCAGCACAATAAAATGACTGCATACAAACCTCTTGATTGATCAGATAGTGATGTTGACGGTTGCTGTGAGAGGGGCAAGTACTGTTTGTTCTTGATGATGGAGAGCATGTGCTTGTAATATTCATTGAGGGCATCGCCGGGGGTGAGGAAGTTGAACTGAGGATTGTTTTTCTGTTTGGTTCGCATGATGACCTCCATCTGACCTCCGTGAGAACTGATGAACGAGGCAGTCTTCTCAATGATCGTGTGCATCTTCATGCTGTCTGGCTGTTAGGTGAGTGGAGTGGCAGGCTCATAAATTTGCAGTAGGACGAAATAGTAATTTCATTTAAATTCATATAAATGATGCCTATTGAAATGAACAAAAACAAAGATAACTAAATAGCTATTCTCAAAACCACAAATTGATCTTAGAAAAAAAAACTGAGACTACAAAAAGAATAATGATTATGATGATGACGATTAACCTCACCTTACCTTCGAGACCACAGGTCCATCAATGATCTTCCATCTGCAATTTGCTTCAAAATAATCTCGAGTCATACATGATTAGCTGGCATATACATATACACATGTACACAAACATATATATGTATATGCACAGAAATGTTGAGTGTTGGCTTGTATGGGTGTTCATTTGTGTGTCAGGCAAAGGTTTTTTTTTGTAAACATTATCCAGGTGAGGAATTACGAAAATTTTGCCCCTTAGTAATGAGATAATACAATCTTCTGCACTGGAGCATCAAATTCCTAATTGGTTTACATCGGTTAACTAAACTTTTTTGGTCAACTGCACTCCAAACCATAATTAATGATGAAGTCAAACAAGAAAAATATAGACACTGTCTCTGTCAAAGCAGGGTAAAAGTTGTTTGGGGGAAAACTTGGAATTATGTGAGGGCATTAAACAGAAATTATAAACAGATATAAAAATGTTTACAGGAGGCCATGGTAGGCTGAGCATTCAAGCATTAATGCAAGAGAAGTAGTGTAAGAATTGCATTTTGATGGTTGCTAGAAACATTGTAGATACCTGCCAATTATGATTATTATAGAATGAAATAGAAAACTATGATCAACTGATTGATAGTTAGCTAGGTCACGCAATAAAACTCACCAATAATATGTTGTCAGGTAGCAGATAGGAAGGGTGTGCAATGTATGGATCACTGGTGTCTGGTGTTGATGCTCTCGCCGAATCATCTGAATAAAAAGTTTTAAATATATTAAAACATTAATACTTTTAGCTAAAAAAAAATTTGAATCATTCATTTATTTATTTATTAGCTATTATTAAGAAACAAAAAATTTTTCAAATACTTTTTATGAGCTATTATTTAGAATGAAATAAGATCACTGATGTGTGGTCATGTTAGCTGATTCTCAAAAACAACCGACCCGCAAACGCGGTATGTTTATTGAATTATTGAAATAACTGAGAGGAGATAATTGATGAAATTGCAATCAACATACCACGTTTGTCGACTTGTTCATCATTTGTTTGCTGCTGTTCACCTGCACTCCCACCATAATCAAATGACACAGCATAATACGAGTTAGATGAAGATGCTTCATTCAACCTCTTCATTTCTTCTTCTATAAACAATTAAATAAAAAAACATTAAACTGTTTTTTAAATTGTAGATATAAATAAACGATTAAATATATGAAAGTATTTGAAGCATCATCAAACAAAACATTCCAAAATCTTTAGTCTTTCAAAATAATTACCAACAATCATGCTAACAAACTCTGCTCCTATAAATGGCATGAAGTTATAAGAAGCATACAACACAAGGACAACCCAGCAACAACAATCCTTGCACATATAAGTCATGACAAAATACAAAAGCATCTACTACAACAATACAATGAACGGAACCAGTGTCATTTGGGTTCATAGGTACTGAATTGAGGATTCCAGTAATCGGAACAATTTTAAAGTACTGGCACTGTACCGTTTGCATTTTTAAAAGGATTCGTTAGACACCAAAATTACGGTTCCAACTTTGGAACAAAAATTTCGGTGCCTAAATTCTAGAAGTTTGCAGACCTATATATCACCTCTAAAAATAGTTCAGTAGAGGCGCTCTTACCTGACAAAATATGTGTGAATGCACATGCACGCATGTGTAACTAACTGTATCATAAGGAATTTAATAGCATTGTATTGTAAATATCATGGGAATGTTATTGAACATAACTAAAACAAAGTTGTAGATATAGGCATAAAATTGATCGCTTAATCTGAAATTTGATTCTTGGTGTTCAACAGTTCTTGATTAATTTTTAAAAATAAAGTTTCGAGATTTATTCTGTGATTTGATTTGTACATGACTGTGAAGTACCTAGTTAGAAAATAATGTGTAGAAAGTTTCAAAAAAACATAAGCAGACATTGTTAATATGAATTAAGATGAATAAATACGAATAAGAAGATGATCGTTTGGAGCTTTAGCACCTAACTAATTGTTTGGGCTCAAAAATTTTGTCTTATATTATGGTATATAGGTTATATCCAGGACCACCTCAAAATATTTTTTCGATTATAAGTAAATCAATTAAAAAAAATGTTTAAAAAAAATTTTCAGGGCCAATTAAGACAAAATACAATAAAATTGCAATATTTTCTTTCATTAAATATCTTATTCAATTTTGCAATTTGTAACTTAACTTTAGGTAAGCATTTAATCACACTTTTCATTCAGCTTTCAATAAATTGTTTCTTCTTCTGTTTATTCAGTTTCAAAATACTTAACCACTAAAATGTTGTTAACCAATGTCTTGCTGATAACGCTTAATCTTCAAATAGCAGGATTAATAATTGCAGTTTCACTTTTTTACTACATGTTAGTGGATTATGGCAAACCAATTTTCAAGCTCTGACAAAGAACAACTAATTTTGTTAATCATTATTTTAAAAAAAGTTTGTTTAACAAAAAATGTTGCTGCAAAATTTGTGACAGCTGTGGTGATTGAGTTAGAACGAGAAAATTATCTTATCTTATGTTTAATATAAGGCAGATTTACTGTTGCATCTGAATGTTTCAGTATTTTGGCTGTGTATGTTGTGCATGCGTGTCTTTCGTTACTGCCTGCATCTTTGTGTCCTGCCTTGTTTAAAATAATTGAATTTGTTTTTAAAATAATTTGATTATTTTATTTTCACTATTATGTTGTTTTTTTAAATATTTAGCTTTTTGCTGTTCTACTTTTTCAATAAAAAACGATTCCCTTTCCAAATTTTGATGTCATGTAAAATAACCTTGGGGAACTGGGTCTCTGGACGCTAAACGAAGATTGATTGATCATGTAAAATAATGTTTTTAATGTTTTTTAAATGTTTTTTAATGTTTATTTTTAGTACTTGGTTTTAACAATTTATTCTTTAAGCTTTATTTTTTTTGTGTATTAAATAGCATAATTTAAATACGCTTTTCCAGTTTTGTTTTATTCTAATTCAATTATCTAGTCACCAACAATCTTTTATTTGCATGACTGTTTTTTATGATAATGTATTGTTATATGACACACAATGAACACACATGACATCATAATATTTAGTTAAGTTGAATTATATCTATACGTATGCCCTACATTTAATATAAGCTAGTAGACAGCACAATTCAAGATAGTTAGTATAAAAGAGCTATACTGAAACTACGCAGAAGGGAGAGAAAGAAAGGAAACAATGATATAGTTAAAGATTAATTGTTTGGAATAGTTAGTAACCAGTTGACAACCGGAAGGGCAAGAACAAGACAGAAGTCAAGAATCAGAAGTGCAAATTAGTGAGATTCAAATCAATCGACATATTAGTAATATTCAATGTCAACTTATGTTTAATATTGCTTGTTCACTTATAAATGAAAACCAACTCAAGGTTATGTGTACTTTTATTATTTTATAATCTGATAAGCAGCAGTGTAACAATAACTAATACAACATGGTGGAGAACATTAATCTATATAACAGTGTATGTATTTTTCATGGGTGCCGACAGATCAAAATATGCGTATATGCATAATGGTCATCTACTGACACAATGGCTCCTAACTCGACCGAGACCCTACGCTCCCAGAATGCCGCCCTACGTCTGATTACAGGTTGCCATGTGATCGCTTCAGAACGGCACCTTCATTCAGAATGTCAGATGTTAACGGTAAGGCAGCATTCGGAGCTAATAGCATCACAATTCCTACTCCTATGTCATAACCTTAGCCACCCGTGCCATCATATCATCACGCGACAACACCCGCACCGCAACATAAAGACCACCCTCCTCTCCAAATGGGCTTCAACAACTCATGCGGTTCTACCAACAACCATAAATAGCGATTCTCTGAAGTTCGCTCTAAAAACACTTCACAATAACTTCATCAAAGCCGCCACAGAAACGTATCAGTCGCCGTTGTTGTTGCCTGACGGATGGCCTCCACCTACACCAAAAATAGATCCAACAGAAGAATCACTTCCCAGGGCAATCAGACGGACCCTAGCCCAACTCCGTTCTGGCCATAGTATTCTTCTAACAGCTACAAAAACAGAATCGACAGTGGGCACCTCAACATCTTTCCTTTCTGCAACAATCATACAGATGATGTACCGCATCTGTTTAGCTGTCCACAAAACACCACAAAACTACAACCAATAGACCTCTGGAGAAACCCAATTGCAGTGGCCATTTGGCTCCGGCCTCGATTGGAACCCTAGGGGGCCCCAGAATGGGGCAACAACAACAACACCGAGACCCTAGGTGCCCTTCAAGCAAAGCATCATCCAGCTCCTGCTGATAAAAAACCCAGTCCTGATAAAGAAACTGCAAAAAATGGAATTACGCCACAACATCTGAGAGATCTAAAGTGGAAACCAATGAGGTCGTCGGCGCCATAACATGCTTTGTTAACCTGCTCCTGAGTGACGTCTGCCCCTCCTGAGGTGTAGTTATTTGGAGGGAGGTTGGTGGCAATGGCCAAGAAGGATGGTGGAATAAGGCGCTGGGCGGCAAAATGTAATTTGTTTAATATAAATTATGTCAGGGTGAATCAATTTTGAATATTATGTTGGGACCGATAAAATTAAGAATGTTTTCTTTTAAGGTTTCATTTTTGTTCACTCTTCCTTTTTGGTGTGCAAGTGCAAATAAATTATTTTACTAATTTACATTATCAAACTTCTTCTCAGGTATATCCCCTTATAAGCAGCTTTTCTCATGACCTAGAAAAAAAGATAAATGATGTCAATCGAGTCAACATAAAAAAGTCAACATTGTTTTCTCCAAGTTTGAACAATTTGTGATGAAAGTTTGTTATACTATTTGATTTCAAATCCAAAGAAAAAAATTTACAACTTTTGTTTAATTTTATTTTTAAAACTATAAAAAACTGCAAAATAATAAGGACAGACAAACAAATGATACTGAAATTGGAGATGTACTTTGCAGCTAATTCTAAAATTATTTATCCAATTATATTGAGAGTTTTAAGCCCGAAAAAGGTTAGAAAGAAAATTTTTAATTTTGGAAAGAAAATTTGGTTGATCAGCTTTCTCTAGCCAAATTGGCTTTTATATTTTTGTCTATTCCTACAACATCTGCGGCTGCACAATGGGTTTTCAGTCAGTGTCGGCTTTGCACTGATGATAAACGTAATCGAATGTGACCCAATTTATTCAAAATGAAAATGATGATTCACATTGATGAACATTTAATTACATAAATGACATGTCGCCAGGTGAAGTGTATGTATGCGTATGATTTGGAATAAAGTTGTTGTATATTTTTATATTCAAAATTTTTTTAAATGCAGTCCAAATTAGAAAAAAGATTAATAAAATATTTTGCTTCATGAGTTTAAACTCGGGCATAATGCGGCAGAGGCAACTCGTAATATTATGGAAGGATGGGGCGACGTCGGTGCTTCTGAGCATACCACACAAAGATGGTTTAAAAAATTTCGTACTGGTGACATGAGCCTTCAAGATGAAGAGGGTCGCGGGCGACCATCCGAGATTGATGATGACAAACTGAAGAAAATTATTGACGCAAACCCAGCTAAAACTACTCGAGAAGTTGCCGATGAACTCAAGGTTGATCATACAACAGTAGTTCGTCATTTGAAACAGATTGGTAAAGTCAATAAACTTGACAAGTGGGTTCCACATGAGTTGAAAATCAGAAAATTCGGCGTTTTGAGGTGTCAGCTTCACTTGTTCTGCGTAATAAAAACGATCCGTTTCTTGACTGGATTGTGTTGTGTGATGAAAAATGGATCAATATGATAATGGACGACGTTCAGCTCAGTGGTTGGACCATGATGAAAGTCCAAAACACTTTCCCAAGCCAAAATTGTACCAAAGAAAGTTAATGGTGATAGTTTGGTGGTCTGCAGCAGGATTGACGATTAATGGAGAGATGTACTGCCAACAAATTGATGAGATGCACCAGAAATTATGCCAACTACGTCCTGCATTGGTTAACAGAAAGAATCCGATCCTTCTCCATGATAACGCCAGGCCACACGTCGCACAACTAACGCTAAAAAAACTGAACGCATTGGGTTACGAGATTCTCCCTCACCCATCATACTCACCTGACCTCTCACCAACAGATTTTTACTTTTTCAAACACCTTAACAACTTTTTGCATGAAAAGTGCTTCAAAACCGAAAAAACTACAAAAAAGGCCTTCTTACAGTTTGTTGCCTCTAGAACCCCTGATTTTTATGCTACAGGCATCAATGATTTAATTTCTTGTTGGCAAATGTGCATAGATTGTGATGGTTCTTATTTTGATTAAATATCTCAAATGAAAGCAAATTTATTGCATTTTAAAATGGATGGTAGAAAACCGACATTATTTTTGCACCAACCTGATATAAAAACTATTTGGATATACAACTGCTGAAGATATGTTAAATAACGAATTTTTATTTTTAAGGGTATCCTTTGGAACTGGTTTTGAGTAATGTCGGTTCCAAAAGTTATGGAATGGTATGGTATGGTACCATTTGAATTATTTAAGGAGTTCCAAGAATGGTACACCGTTTTTATTTCAAAAATGCTTCCTTAAAACAGGAGCTATTGTACCTTGAAAAAAATGCAGGTAGTGTACATCACTAAACGGAACATACCTTCATAAAGAAGTTTCTCCTCAACATCACAGAACAAGTCGAGATACCTCTCTTGGTCAATCATCTCCTCCATCTGCTTCTCTCGTTCAGTCAGTGCATCCCAACCCCTGTTTTTCATTATGTCACTATCATATGCACTCAGATCACTCAGGTGACCTCGACCATCATACCTTTGGTTGGAAAGTGTTAAAGTTTTAATCTGATTTAATTATTTAATTATATGCAGATTAAATACAACAATTTATATATGTATAATATTAGGTAGTAAACAAATGATATAAATAATGTTCTATATGTTGTTTATAAAATAATTTTCTAACTAAATAAGTACATGTTTACAATTGTTTAACCTCAAAAATCAACCAAATATTAATTTTAATAAAAAAATTGACATCATAAATATAAGAAGATAAAAAATTAAATAAGAAATAAATACTCCCTTCATACAAACAACTTTTATTATTTTATTACATAGTTAACAAAATAGAATATAAGGTACTCGTGATAGGTAAAACCGGAGACAGATACTCCTATGGTAACACCCTTGTTTACAAACAAACATAATGTACTTTTAATAAATTGACTCCACTCATAAATTGACTCTAGCGCTTAATTATTTATTTATATCATATTGCAGTTGAGTTTCTCAATTTTTCTAACGAGACTTTTATCATCAACTTCATCAAGATGATGAAAGTCTCGTTAGAAAAATTGAGAAATTCAACTACAAGTTGAATAATGCCGAAGACGCAGTGATCTTTATAAATAATTGTATTTATGATAGTCTAAACCGGAAATATATATATATATAAATATACATTAAAGAAAGAATAACGATTAGTCTATTGTGTTGTTATGTTGGTGTGTCTGTTTGTGTTTGTTTGTGTATAATGCATGTGTGTGTAAGTTTGGTGTGCATGTGTAAGTTGAGGTCAGGGGTAGGGTTAAGTTGGGTTGTTGTGAAAACATAATATTTAAAACAAATTCAAATAGAAGAAATGATAAAATAAAATTGTTTGTTCTATCTGTCTCGTAATAATAAATATAAAAACAATTTTGAAATTGTAATAATAAATAATTAAATATAAATCATAAATTAAATAATAATAATTTAAAAATACAACTCCTAAGAATTTTTTTTATAGAAAAATTTAAATCTAATAAATAAATATTTAAGCGCTAATTAAATGGGCGAAGTCATTTTATTTTAACATACATTAGATTTGTTTGTAAACATGGAGGATACCATAGGAGGACCAGTCTCTGGTTTTACCCTCATGATAAACCAGAGATCATAATAAAAACTATCAAGAAGAGTTTTCAAGATGAATTTGCAAAAATATTTATTTATAAATAGAAGAATACTGTCTTATAAAAAAAAACTTTCTTAAAAACTAGGACTAAACAGACTAACGTGAGTAACACAAATAGAGACCATTAGAGTTCAAGACAAAGTACTTAAAAAACTTAACTCAAAACTCATTATTGTATTTTGAATGTTAATGTTGTTAGGTAAGTTAAGCTAATTAATTTAATAATGTTAATCTGTCATTAATGATTAATTAATTAATATTTTTTAATTTTTAAATCAAAATTTCATTAATTTTTAAATTAAAAATGTTTTAAACGTTTAGCTAAATTAAATTTGAAATACCTGTCAATAAGAAGAGTATCATCCCCCATCCACGGTATCAAATGGCGACACTGATCGATGTACATGGCCTTCTCGTCGTCTCGGAACAACGTGCACTGATATCCAAACACAAGCAAATCATCGTAATTTTCTTCCGCAGGGCCCTCTTTCAAAGTACGCAGAATTTTTTTAGACATTTCTTACGATTAAAGTTTCAAGCTCGTGTGATATAAAATTAATTAGCATTTATTTGTCAATCTAACTATCCAATAAAAACGAACTTCACACTAATAATCACAAACGCTTGGCGACTCGTTAAAACACAGCAAAAAAACAGTTCGTTAGTTAAGTAGGACCAAAAAACCGACCTATACGGGCTCGTTGCTCTAAAACTAAATCTTGATATGGCTAAAACGCCAAAGCCATGTAAGAATAATGTAATAGGTATATATTCTTTTGAGTAATAAAAAGCACATTGCATAACAATTAGGATATTGTGCTAAGGGGTAACTAGCATATGTGCTGTTAAGTGAATATTACAATTTTTATATGTGTATATATATATATATTTCGGATGTTTAAATTGGGCCATCTATTGTAATAAAATATTAAAATAGATGGCATTGAATATAAATATATATATATATATACAGATATATATATATATATATATATAGAGAGAGAGAGAGAGAAAGAGAGAGAGAGAGAGAGAGAGAAACTAAGTATTAGTTTCTTAAGAAACTATACAAAACAACTTGCACTGAATATGATTTATGAAAATTCGAAATAAGGCCTTATCTGCAAGATGAATTTTGATAAGAACAGTTTTGTTAAATTTTCATGATGAACTTGGATAATTCTATTTTCAATAAATTCTAATGAGAAATATTGAAAAAACAAACTATAAATTAATTAATGCCAACAATTCGGTAGAATTCATACAATTATATATATATATATATATATATATATATATATATATATATATATATATATATATATATATCGACGGTTTAAAGTCGAAATAGATCTATCTACAATAGTTTTAATGAAACGTGTGTTAATAAAAAAAAAGTTTCAACTTTGAACAAACTAAATTTTGTCAAAAGAATTTGCAAAGATAAGTTGAAAAATTTAAATTTAATTTGATAAACACTAATAAATCGGTGGAATTTATTACATATTGTCAAGAATTTGGTCTTCTTCCAGCATATATATAAACCTATGTATTCCATTAAGCTCTATTGGATCCATAATTGAAACACCGTCCCTTGATGAAAACCGTATTTATGGATAAAATGTGCAGGCGTTATAAAAACCCTTTACATATATATATATATATATATATATATATATATATATATATATATATATACAGATATACATATCCATGTTGCAGCATTACTAAGGAGTAATTAGAATGTGTTGCTAAAAGGTAGTTAGCATATGTGCTGCGAAAAAGTAATTAGCATTTTATGTATCAGTTTCATAAGATTTCAGAATCCACCATTGATACACCACCCCTTGAAAAAGAGAAAACACAAAATACTATTCACGCACAACACTATAAATAACAATAAATAAAACATGTGCATGCAATAACAACCTAACTTAAATACTTATAACGCAATAACATCGCACTACTATGGTTATCGTGATTCTACACTCTATCCTTTAAGTGAAGTTTTTAACTCTGTTTCTCGTCTAGTTGCTCGTGCTTCTATCTATTTTCCTATATCTCCATATCTTGTTTTCTTGCACTGGCTACCTATAAAATACAGAATAGTTTTTTAAAATTTGCACATTTATGTATAAGTCTCAATCTAAATTAGTACCTAAGTACTTATCAGATATATTCAATCAATCAATCAATGATCCTCCTTTGTCCATTGAGGGACCGTCGAGGCCAATGGTATACATCTAAGCTTGCTTTTTACATTTATTTTTTCTTTTTTTCTTTTCAAAAACCTATTCTATTTTTGGCCAGTTTTATTGAATTCAGAATACCAACACCAGTCCATTCAATAATGTCATCTATCCATTTTTTTGCAGGTCTACCAATTTTTTTCCAATCTCTTTTCCTCATTAGTACCATCTTAATCAATTTGTCTTTTCTCATTCTACAAATGTGTCCAAAAAATCCCATTTTTCTTTCTTTGACTTTGTCATATACACTTCACTTTTCTGTCTTCCAAGTTGATTTCTGATGGTTTCATTCTTTACTTTCTGCCTCCAACTGATTCCCAACAAATTTCGGTTTCTCAAATGCTTCCAATCTGTTTTTGTCTCTTTTCTTTATTGTCTATGTCTCACATGCATAGAGCAAGGTTGGAAAAACGCAAGATTCTATCATTCTCAACTTTGTTTTTATAGATATATTTCCATTTTTCCATATTTCCTTCAATGATGCAAACATTCCATGGGCTATTGCTATCCTTCTGTTAATTCCTTTGGTGCAGCTGTTGTCACAGGTTATAAGACAGCCAAGATACACAAACCGGTCTACTTGTTCGAGTTTTTCTGAATCAATCAGAAATTCCGCATTGTGTCTGCCTTTTCCCGTAATCATCACCTTCGTTTTGTCTTTGTTGACATGCAACCTGTGATGTTTTCCACCAACATGTGTTAGTTCAATTAGTTTCTGTAGACCTTCACTAGAAGCTAAAAGATCTATATCGCCTGCAAACCTGAGATTTTTGACAGTTCTTCTTCCTATGTTAATTCCAACTAATTCCGACTTTTCCATTTTTTCCATTGCTTTTTCAAGCAATGCTATGAATAGTATTGGTGATATTGAATTGCCCTGTCTGCTTCAAATGTCTGCCTTTATCCAATCCCCAAGTTCTGTACCTATTATTACTGACATTTTTGATTTTTCATTAAGTCCTTTCAGTATTTTGACCAGCTTTTCTGATGTCCCCATACTTTCTAATGTTGTCCACAAACCTTCAGACCAGACAGAATCAAACGCTTTCTTAAAATCAACAAAGCAATGGTAAATTGTCTGACCACTACTTTTTGCATCTTCCATCAACAGTCTCAACATCTAAACGCCCCCCCGGTTTACGAACGTTTTCTTGTTCTCACTTCTTTTTAACTTGTGTTAAACAGTCTTTTGCTAAATCTGCGTTTGCTTTTTTGGCCTTTTTCTCTGGAACTTTCTACTTGCTTTTCTAACTACTTTTCCATCACTTACAAGGTTCAGAGCGAATGTCAAGACTCATTTATTAACAAAATTCACTGATTTGATTTGTTGGTTGATTGATTGAATGATTGATCGATCGATCGATCGAAGTAAATAACACCAACATCTCCAAAAACGCAAGTATAAAAAGTAAATATAAAGTAAATTACTTAAATAATTTGCACATGTACACAAAACATGTATTCATTCAAGTGTCATGTTTGTTAGTACATATGAATAAATGTTCATAAAAATATAAATGAAATCATTTAAACAAACTTCACACTTTCCAATATTTAACTTCACTGTCATTCATTCTTGCAATCCCGCAGATCATCCATCATTAATAATGGTAATAATGTTAAATAATAATAAAGAAACAAGCAAACAAAACTAAGCCAGTAAATATAAAAGAAAAAAGGAATTTTATAAGTCAGCTTTATAGTCAAATTTACATGAAATATTTTTTAAACAAATGTCTAACTTATTTTTAAAAGCGACGACATTACAAGTATTCATATATTCTATATATACGATCACAAGCATTCACCACTTCAACATTCAAACAATTCCAAATATAAAAAACGGTGCCTTTGATGGTTCTTTTTAAATTTTGAGTTGAGAGCTTGTATTAATGACCTCTTTTCTATCACCTATTGCTTTAGCTTAATTAGGGCAAAAAATGGCATCTCAACATCGCGAGTTTGCTTGAAGACCGTTATCAGATCAACCCAGCCGTCCATCTTTTTGAGGTCGGTAAATGGGCTCAGTGGTTCAAATGCTCGCTGAGTCAAACATCTCAATGGCTATCATATACTCAGCGTATATGATGCGGTGCTCGTGCGTGCACATAAAATGCATGTGTACGTCGTGTGAAAAGGATAAACAGCCTTTGTGGCGAAGATGACTGCTTCAAATCAATGGATGAAGATATGAAGAACATAATAAAAAATATATAGATAATATATATGTAACAATGTAAGTGATACATGGAATTGAAAGATCCAAGTATCTTAAATGATCCCGTAACTTAGGCCGCAGCAATCCCTCACCATTTTTGTTGCCCGCTTCTGAACTCTTTCGACATCTTCGATTAACTTATTGGTCCATGGTGCCTACACATATTCGATCCTAGATCTATTAATAGATTTATATAATAACAGAAGAGAAATTAAAGTGAGTGTGTGTGTGTGTTAAATTCGTGTGTCTCCTGCGTGATTTTTGCCACCGAAATTGAATTTTTTGCATTCAGAGGCATTTGTGAGCTACAGCATACGAATATGTGAAATTAAATTTTTAATTTGTTTTCATTTCAAACTTTGTAAATAAACAACGCCCACTCAATTTACGATTTTATATCATGTACTCTTTACGTACATGTTTCCAACTATGTAATTGAACATGCTTATATAAAAATATATAAAACATATCATAGAATAAATGTATGTAGCAATCGTATGATGATTTGTGTAATGGATGTTCTTTAATTCCATCTTCTAGATTAATAATTCAAATAAATTATTTAATTTGTTAGGGTTTCCATATTATTACAACCTTCATGCGTACTTTACAATTTCCTTTTTTTGTGTGGGTTTCATTTTGTTTGGTTGAATTGAAGTCGGTTATTTTCATTTTAATTAAAAATTAAATAAAACTATGCTTTGGTGAGAAGTATGGAAGAATTCGAACGTGAAATTTTTTTAACATATATAAAATAATTATGTATAAATTAAAAAAAATAGGATATGATCAATTTTGATCATAATGGTGTTTTTATCAAATCTTTCAATACTAATCTACGCACTTTATTAAATGAGTTTAGTTTTCATTCGATTAAAAATTTCTTAAAACTTTAAGGGTCAATCTATAAATTTTATATTGTGAAGCTAGGATAAACATAAACGGATAAATAAATGTACAATATATATATATATATGTATATATATATATATGTATATATATATATATATATATATATATACAAAATTAGACCATAATTTTTACAATATTCTATAAATTCTACCGAATGTTTGGCGGTAATATGTTTGTAGTTCGTTTTTTCGATTTTTCTCACTAAAGTTTTTTGGTGAACGTTTAGTTTATTAAAATTCAAAATAAACTTATTTTTCGAATTCATGCTGCAGATAAGGCCATATTTCGATTCCGAATGAATCATTGTCAGTGCTTCTTGTTATATATATATATATATATATATATATATATATATATATATACATATATATATATACCTAAATAAATTATTAATTAATTATTATATAAATTATTATTAATAATTTATTTATAAATTTACCTATATATTTATTCATAAATATACCTATATAAATATACAATCTTGTATGTAAGTATGTATATATAATCTTGTATGTATATACAAGAATTTCATATATATATATATATATATATATATATATATATATATATATATATATATATATATATATATATATATATATATATATATATATTGGGTTTAGACTATCATAAATACAATTATTTATAAAGATCACTGCGTTTTCGGCAGTATTCAACTTGTAGTTGAGTTTCACACTTTTTCTAACGAGATTTTTATCATCTTGATGAAGTTTATTAAGGTTAAATAAAATAACTTTTAATATTTGACATTTTTGACAAAACATTATTAATAACGTTATTACTACAGAAAAGCTCTTTTCGGCATCAACTGCCATCATCAGTGTAGTTATGCAGTATTGTTCCGTCTTTGTGTCTTTGTTTTTACAGCGACTTGGATTGTAACTTAATTAGAATTAAAGTTAATCATGTGTTTCTTTGTCGGAAGAGAATTGGTATTATTTAGTTGAATATTTATTGCTGGTTTACGTTTATCGATGAAAATTGATTCTGCTATCTTCAATTTGAAGTATTCTCTGTTGTAATAAATTGCTTTGGTTTTATTGTTTAAAATTTTCCTTGTTATAATAGTGTTATGTTGTTCCATTAGGTGGTCTTTTATTGTATAAGCAACATGGAGAATATAATATATATATATATATTTATAGGGTGGCGTGATGGCTCAATGGTTAAAGGCGCCTGGTCTTGCTATTGCAATGACTGGGTTCGAATACAAAGAGATCCCCACCTATCATATGCAATGTGTATGATGTGTGGTTTGCACGCGTATTCATATACGCTGTGTGTGTTTGTCGTTGAAACCTCTGAAGCAAACGCAAAAGAAAGAGTAACCTTTAACCTTTTTAACCTTTTATATATATATTTTTACAATATTCTATAAATTCTACCGAATGTTTGGCGTTAATATGTTTGTAGTTCGTTTTTTCAATTTTTCTCACTAAACAATAAACTAAACTCTATATATATGAGAAAAGTGAAGGAGAACGCAAAATTTTTATTTAATATACGAACATTCTAAAAAAATGCTAAAACATTTTGTTTTTATCATAACTATTGTTCAAATATTTGCTTGTGTTTTTGAATCAATTTTTTCAAATGTTTGTTAAAAGGTGTTTATACTAAACCAATTTGAATTTAACTACTACAGGATTGCTGCTATGTTTTAAATTTCAGTATCAATGACGTCGAAAAGATGATCAAATTGAAGATTTCCGTCGCATTGTGTACCGTGGTTTGCTCATAGTATCAGTTCGTTCATTTCATAAAAGCTTTGGTGCTAAGATAGGACGTTGAAATGTGAATCGCTACGCTTCAATTTTAACAGTTATGTTGAATTTAATATTTTTCTGAAAACGAAAAATTTTAAATTGATAAAAGAATAATTTACTTTCTCAAATTGCTATATAATTTTTCAAGTAGGTGCCTAATAAAGAGGCAAGAACATACGTAATGGAAGCATGCACCAATTCGTATTATAATTATGTCTATGCAAGTTGCTAAGTAGCTGTAAACAAGCAATGAGGGATACCTGCTCAATCATGTTTTAGGCTCTAAGTTGTATTCATTTTGACGTTCTATGTCATCGCAATGTGCTCGCTTTTCGTAAATTCAAAAAATTCAAATTAATGATGATATAAAACAATTATTGAAGACACGTTAATGGCTCACATCAGCTTTCTTCATGTGGTCTTGTTGAATTTTGTTTGATTTCATTGCACATGGCTTCTTCAGAGTGCATCGAGGTTAGATAATCAAAACATAAAAACTTCAAAATTAGTCGCAAATTTAAATCCATTTGTTTCACGCCACAACATTTTATTTATACGGTCAATTCAGATGTACGTGTTAATCATATTCACATTCTAAATTCATTTCAATCAATTTAATGTGAACAGTTCATTCTAATTTTATAAAATTGTTATTGTATATTATTATTAATTAATCTCGTAACGTCGTTTTTGTCACTCATATATCTCATTATAATTAATTTGATTGATATTCCTGGAATTTTCACTGCTTGTAAAATATTTAATCAGAATAAAAATAGAATGAATTATATATAAAACTAAATAAGGTCTTTGCCGATAAGAGCTTTGTAGTTTGTGGTTGTCCCTCGTACAAGATTTTAATATTATTATTTTATTCCATTTAAGTAAGTTCTCTAGGTCAGAGCACAACTTAAGAAAATGGTTTGCAATTATGGCGTTAAAAAATATTTTTGATACCTGTTTATAATAAGATATTGATGAGTTTAGTTTTATTACGCTGGTGGCCCACGTGACGAGGCGAGTACGCAATCGCGAACTTTGATGTCCTTTTCCAACCGAGTAAAAGTGGTTAAATTTTGTGGAAAAAAGTTTCAACGAATGAAGTGGCATCAAAAGCGCTTTGTTCATAAGTTTGTGCTTGTTGAGCGACACGTGGGGTGATATAAGGGCTAAGAAGTATAATGCGTGGTACATTCTCTCATAAAGCAAATTATCTCAGATGGATGTTACAAACGTGGTTAAACGTGACAAGAGAGGTAGAAACGTATTACAGTAAAGCAACAAAGTCGAAAAAGTTCTATAGGATCTTTTATGGATAGTTAAGCATGATGACGATTGTTGTTAAAGTTCGATAAAGGAATGTTCTTCAGTGTTCTTTGGAAAACACACAACTACATTTGAAATTCTGAGCGTAGAAATCGTTTTAAAAGTCAATAATAACTATATCTATATCCAGCATATATAAGGTTTTTCAATTTAACCAAAAAACTGGTTACAATATTATTCCGCCGTCCACACGACGAACCCCTTCTCTAGCCAACCCAACATCGTTCATGGCTTTATAGTCCAATTTGTTGATCAACATATTTTTAACATAAAACGGTAATGTTTTTTATTTATGTGTAACATTGTGTGAAAAAAAATTTTGCCTAGAAATGCCAATCAAACATTCAATAACCAATTGAAAATTGGCATTTCTACAGAATTATAATGTTCAGTATTCAATTGGTCACGGCGGGTTTGGCAACGTTTACAAGGCTGAACATCGATTCACCGGTCAGAAAGTAGCTATCAAATTCGTAAGTGAAGAAAATTTTTCATAGAAAAGTTCTGTCGTTCGCTTTCATTGTTTAATCTGATATAACTCGTTTGCAAGTTATCATTATTATATGGATGAGCAACTCCAACTCCTGCATGATTATGTTGAATTAAAAAATGTTTGTACGTAAAATCAGATTGAAAAGAAAAAAATTCAGAATCATTCTGGTATGATGAAAAGAGTTCTCCAAGAAGTCGCGATTCACTCAAGGCTGAAACACCCATCTATATTGGAGGTTGGTTTGATGGATGTTTGTAAAATACGTCGTATTCATGTCAGTTCGTTTTTTAATGGTTTTCAAACTCAACACGCGCTAAAACACAAGAGAAAATATTAGGAATAGTAATAATGATAAAATCAATTTTTCCTGCGAGAAGTTGAATTTTTCATAAAATAATTTTATTGTACATGACTTTAAAAAAATACAAATATTACCATTAGAAAAAATGTAAACACTTTAAGGTGTACAACTATTTTGAAGATGCTCATTACATATACTTAATACTTGAACTCTGTCCTCACGGGGACCTCAACTCAAAACTCAAAACCTTATCATGTGGCTTCCCCGAACACGAAGGTTATTTAACTTTTTCCATGTGATTGATTTGATAGTTGAAGATTCATAGAAACGGTAAATGTAGTTTATATTTATAAGAAATACCTTTTGTAATTTTCCTCAGAAAGATTGATTCGTAAAATAATTTTTACATTGATTCAAACCGTGCACCAGTTCGCAGCTACATGCAGCAGATCGTAGATGGGATCGTCTACCTACAAAAGCATAGAATCCTCCACAGAGATCTGACTTTATCAAACATTTTAATCAGCAGACACGGAACAGTTGTTCGTTAAAAATTTTTTTTTCAGTATAAAGATATTCTTATTTTCATGAGTAAATATGTAAACATTGGAATACCATCTAGTAAATATAAAATATTGTCGTGTTATAAATTTGGTGCTCTTTATCTCTTTAATGGATACTAATGTTTTTAAAATTTAACAATACTAATGTTTTCATATAATTTTATACGGTATATATAATATACCTACACAAATATCTTGAAAAAATTTGTTGATATCACCAGAAAATAGCAGATTTTGGTCTGGCCACACAATTGCAGGATGTCAACGAAAAGCACTTCACAATGTGTGGAACACCTAACTACATATCACCGTTCGTTAATACATTTGTTTAACTTTATGTTGAGAACTGCTCAAGTTCTTCAATTATTCTTAGCATATGGCTTCATAATCTTTATATAATTTTTAACAAAACTGCTAATTTTCTGAAAATAAATCTGGTTATAAAAAAGATCGCGTCAAATTGTCCAAATTTTATATGAATACACAAAAATCTCATGAATACGTTTATTCCACATATCAATATTAAAGGGTTTTCTAATGAGAAGCCTTGCCAACAACATAATGCACGCTACACCAGTGACCAATTTATGAAAACCTTAATTGACAAATTAAAAAAATATAATTCTATTGGATGAAAAATGTGTTTCACCATTTTTAGTTGATTTACAATACTGATAAAATCAAAGTTTCATACCCTTAAACACATTCCTAACTCAGAGAAGTGGCATCGAGAACTTCTCACGGCTTGGAAAGTGACGTGTGGTCGGTTGGGTGCATGTTCTACGCCATGCTCACTGGCAAACCTCCATTTGACGGAGAAGGCGTAAAAGAAACTCTGGAAAGAATAAAATCAGGAGAATATTGCATGCCAGACCACGTGAGCAGCCACGCAAAACATCTCATCAAATCGTTACTGCAAATGAAACCAGAAGATCGACTTAAACTTGAACGTTAGTTTTGTTCCCAAAACAGTTTTAATATCTAGTAATAGAATGAGTTTAAAATAAATAAAAGTACTTGTAATAAATAATTTGACAGATATTCTTCTGCATCCATTTTTCAACAGTCCAGAAACGGTAAATTTAATAACATTTATTATTGAACCCCACAATGATTTTATAAACCGTATAAAATAAATAAACAAATAAAGACAAATAAAGTCCTTGCATTCGTTGCATTAAAGCGTCCAGAACATTCACTGGATAGTGGCAGGGGTACATTTCTTCAAGCTTCAACAGACACAATAGCCTCGTTTCTCAAGTACAAAGAACTTTTCGACCCGTTAAACTCATCACAAGAACCTCCGCTTTCAAACACCAACCATTCAGTTCAATCGTCGACACCGGACAACAATACGTCACCTCAAAATGCGTTCAATGTTCTTTCTTCGTCTGCACAATTTAATTCTACATTAAAAATACGGGGTACCAGTGTATCAAACATCAACTTAAAATCGTCAATATTACCCAAGTAAAATTTAAAAATTATTTATTTGATTTGCGCTATGTTAAAAGTTTTTAATAAGATAATTTTAACGCACTGGTGGTAAAAATTGAACTATAAAAGCGTGCTATCTAAATTTTCGTCAAAAAATTTTCAAAAAAATTGGCGTTATGTTTTTTTAGTCTTTGGTTTTTATTTTTTGTGCCAACTAGTTTAATCACGTTTACTTTTTAGTTTGTGTTAGCCTATTATCGTTCAGTTTAATCGTGCGTCGTGTCAGTCATGTCGAAGTATTTTTGTTCGAACGTGCCGAGTAGCAACAACAATTCAGATTTAATCGAAAAATATAAAATTTTGGGTTTCGATTGTTTTGCGCTTAACAATTCAGCTTTATCCTGGGGTAACAAAATTTCAGAACAATGTGACAAGTTTAGTAACGAAATAAAAGCTCTGGGGAGTAAAGATGTTTATTCTAGAATATCGCTAGAAGTTTCCGAAACTAATCAGGTTTCTGAACTTAGAAAATTATTAGATAAAGATGTCAATATAGTTTCTGTAAACCCAGTTAATGAAAAAATTTTCCTCAATGTTTGCAAGGATTTGGATATAGATCTGATCTCATTCGATTTGACACAACGTTTACCTTTCATACCAAAACGAACTGCAATTAATTTAGCAATGCAAAAGGGAATTTCTTTTGAATTAAATATTGAAGGTATGATGAGAGATCATACAACAAAACGTAATGTTATTTCAAATGCTAGCATACTTGTCGAACTGTGTCACGGAAGAAATATTGTGTTGTCCAATGGGTCCAGGGATGTGTTTCATTTGAGGGGACCTTATGATTTAATTAATGTTGCTTATCTTTTCGGTTTGAATAAAGAAGAAGCTAGAAATTCCTTGACAACAAATCCAAGTTATATGCTAAAACACAGTCTTGCAAGAAAATATGTTAAAAGTGTAGTTCTCATTGAGCAGGATAATGAAGATATGTAATATTTAATTAAATTGCACTCATTAGATATTACACTTACAAGAGTTGTTTAACTCACAAAATTCACCAATAGAAATTTGATACTTTACATAATCCTACCACATGATGTTTCACAAAATAAATTTTGGGATGTCAATCAAAAGTCTCATGACGACAATGTTGCATGTGCTGGACATGCTTAGCCAAATATTGCGATGATGAGGAATTAATTGAATACAATGTATTTTTTGTGGTTGTGATTTGTTATTCAACTTACTGAAATTTATTCGAACACTTTCTACTGTAACATTTTGACTGGCTTGTTATTTAAAATTTAATCTTTGGTTTGGCTTATAAATATTTTTGCTTGTTTAATTAAGTTATTGTGTTTACATAATAAAAGTTATTTGAAATTCAATTTTTTTAATACAATAACTTTATTTTATTTTTACTTAATTTTTATCTCAAAACGAAATGGATTATACAGGATGTCTGATTTTTCAATGTTTAGTTTGTTTATTCATATAATGTCTTGCAGTTTGTTATATTATTTGTTCACTAAATTTCAGAGAATAGTTTTTCCACTTTGGTCTGTTATCACCTATACAAATGCACTTATTAGAGTTTCGCCACTATACTATTAATCAAATAAAAATTGAGTTACAATTGAAAAACTGTTGTGCTGAAATTGTGAGAGTTCAGCTCCAAAAGTTATAAATTTACTGAAATGCAGCATTGGAAGTAACCACAGTTCTATATAACTAGCAACGTCCCGAAAATACGTTGTTTTCACGTGATATAATTATAATTACATTTGGCTCAATAAAAAAAATTATGTCTGCCAAGACTTGTTATCCATAGATATATATATATCCATGGTTTTATTTATGAACATGGAAAATTGGTATAATTTTATCAAGTAGAGGTGTAGCCAAAATGGGGTCTTTTGATTGAACAATAGTGAGTTTTGTTATGATTGTCTGTTGAGGCTTTTTAGGTTTAAGGTTAAATTTAACGAAATTTTTATGTAAATTTAAAATTAATAAATCTTTTCCCGAGCATTAACGTTAAGAAAGTTTACTTAAAAAATACTAGTCTTAATCATTACTATAAAAATTGTGATAAAACTGAATTTAGCCAAAATAAATTGCCAAATTTTTCCAAGCCTCGCACAAAACTTCTGGCTAAACCACTAATGTTTACTTAAGATCATGAACAAAAATATTTTAAAATTAGTGGCTTTTATGTTTAATAGGTATACATGGCAAATTTTTCGGATTAAACCAAAAATCCAAAATCAAATTATTAAATGTTTGGGCTAAAACAGACGTGCCTTAACCGTTTTGTATTCGTTTTGTTTTGTATTAAACACTTCTTTGTCTCTAATTGTTCTGACATTGGTAAATGTATATTTTTCAATAACTTAATTGTTAATTCAATAACTAAAATTAAAAATCTCATCTGAAAAATTTATTCCAGATCGTTAGAATTTGGTGCCAAAAACAAAAAATCGTTGGAAAGAGAATGCATTTGTACAGAGCCAACACAAGCGTTCAATTCATCAAGTTACTTTAACGACGGCGAAAGCAAAACAATTACAAATTCTAAATCAGAAAAATTTTGGCTGGGCAAATTATGTAAACCGGAAATTAGTCTTCAAAATTTGAAAATGCGAAAAGAAATGTCTGAACGATCCGATGTAGCAAAAAATCTTCATTCCACATCGACTCTGATGCTGACAACCGCAAGAACTCTTCCAACATTAGATACTGTTACGAACGAATCTCCGAGACTTCAAACAAGCGGGGTAGCAGATGTCTGTACAACACAATTTTCTTCAACTACATCGACAAAGAATCGTTCGAAAAAGTGCACAAGTGTCAACAATTTATACGATAATACTCCGAGAAATGCTTCAAACAGATCATTTGACAAAAATTTAAAATTTTCTTCTATGGAAAATATTAACAGCAATAAAACTGAATTCCCAAATGACATAACGATCACAGCGTCTAATGAAAATTTGTTGAAAAATGGTATTCATCAATCCGAATACAGCAAAACTTGGACAGCTGTTGACATATCAATCGACAATTATGCTCAAGCTACAAAAAGAGTTCCGGATATACATAGCAAAGAATCGCAAGAACATGTCAAACGAGATTTTTATCAATATTTCAGTACAATTAGACTACGACCTATGAAGCAAAAAACAAAAAACGCTATCGTTAGTCACACAACGGCAAAATTTAATTTTAAATAATTTTGAAATAAATTTTTTTCTTTCTGTCTATATTTTAATTATTGGATATTTTGTGACAATTACACCATTAACAAGTAATTTTTGCAGATATTAATGTGTTGTCAACTGAAACCTTTTTTTTTAGATTAGATCTACTGTTTACTTTACCTCAATTTCTTTTTTTTTACTTTCTCAGTCATTCACAAACTTCTGAGTTAATCTGCGTATTTGTCTACTTTGTCAAAAGTATTTTTCAACAAGATTAAACGGACAACTGATAAATGGTTTACAATTCAGATAACCATTCAAGAAGATGGATGTGTCGTTGCCGAGTTTTTCAAGTTGATAAACAGTGTGGAACGTATTAGAAGAATTATGAAAGTTTCTTCCGACGGGACTGAGGTGTTTAAATTGTAGCTATTGCAGAGAAAACAAAATTATATCTTACAATGTTTTTACAGGTTCAACTATTTGAAACAGACGGAATCATCAGCAATTCGTCTTTATTTGACAACCCACCGTCACTGCCATCATCGACAAGCAAAGGTATAATATATCACCCCTCCTGCCTGCCTCAAGGGTGGAGGAAAAAATTTGAGTACTTGTCCAGGTTCATCAATCTTGTGCGGTCGAAGACACTAAAAATTACATTGTATACAGGTAAAGCCAAATGTATGGTTATGGAAAATATGCCAATCCCAGACTTCCAAGTCGATTTTTATTCGGGTAAAAATTCATTAAATACATGTTTGACAAAGTCAATGAAATTGAAAAAAACTGTTGACTTGCGAACGTTTTACAGGATGTCAGTTCACAGTGACGAGTGAATGCACAAAAATCGTGCAATGCGATGGGACCACACTGACAATGACTGCATCGTCAGCCTTCAATCACTTATCACCTGACTTACAAGTCATGTGGCAGCATGTCCAGGAAGTTAATATTTTTTGCATCCGTTTTATTTTTTTAATTATGGACATCCTGATAGTAAACTTGTTTTTTTAAAAGGCTCATATAATGTGCAACAAATTCGAGATGCTCGTGCCAAACAACTCAGCCAGTTACATACCGTGTTTCCCATTAATAATAGGAAGGTCAGTGACTCGTGACTATTAACATTTAAAATAGTAAATTTAACAACATTTAAGGTTAAAATATTTGAATTTTAAAAATTTGCATCTAATAATATAAAACTAAGTTGAGTTTTCAAAAATTAACTTTTAGAAAAAGTGCCGTAAGTTCTTTGACATCACCGAACAGTAGTAACTCACCAAGAAGTTCCACTTCAAATGATGTAAATTCATTGTCATACAAATTTTGATCAATTACTTGTTCAGAATTTTTGAAAAAATTGTTATAACCGCTGTCATTGTCAAATTGCGCTATATTATTGTTATTTTGTTTTATTTGTTATTTTCGCCATTTGTCATTGATTGTAAACCATAGAATATTTCCATACCATAGAAGATTGTAAAAATCTACTGTAGAGGCTAAATAAGATGTTGCAAATAGCGAATTTAGTAGCGAGGTGTGGTGCGAAGTTGTGATTGTGATTTATGTAGTTACTTGTATTAGTTTAGTGTTTCTATTACTGTTGGCATTCAAATAAACGTTCAACAAAGTTTGCGTTTGAAGCAGTTGCGTTCATCTATCGGAAATCTTGAACCTACGGATAAACGAACTCTTGACTTTCGTTGGAAGCTACGACACTGGTGTTGAAAATATAGAGATTTTTAAAGTTATAACATTGGTGTTGGAAGTAAAGAGCGTTAATTTTTTATTGCATTGAAAAATTACCGGTGAAAGAAATTGTTGTAAACTAAGTTACAACATCCGATAAATTTTGATTTGTGGTTTAATGAATTTTAATATTTCATTTTTTCATTTTCATGTTAATTCAATTTTTTTAAATTATTAACATAACCAATAGTCGAGTACAAATGCGTTCAAACGGAGCTGTTCGGAAAACAACTTTGCAAGGCTATCCAATGAAAACAAAACGAAAATCGTTACCAACACCCTCAACGATTTGCCTGTGGACGCCTCGTCCGTACGTCAAAAAGGAACTAAAAAATGGTCGGCCAACGTTTACGTTAGGAAACAAATTTCTATTCCGAAGACTTTGGTTGCTAGCGAGGTATGTGCAAAATGTGTAGCGTTTGTAACAAGAACGCCGTTGTAAGTCTGATTAACATAGCATGTCTTACCACCGCATAAGTTTGCGTCTCTGCCCACCAATGTTGTGTTTTACAAAATTTAGATTTCTAAACTCATTCTTACCCAAAGTATAAACCGAATGATAATTTATGTTGACTAAATTGAAGATCCGCCCTTAGTGTTGGATGCATATGCCCTAACGCTAACCCAAAATTTATCGCAATTTTAATGAGAATCGTGTTTTAATTAATGGTAGAAAATTTTGCTGCAAACCTGTCACTCGGGACGGATTTCCGACTTAAGAACCGACCAGGTTTAAGTCGAATAAGAGCTTATTTACATTTGATTTAGTTGTTTTTGTTAAAAATTTGTAGTTTATCCAAAAATTTAATTAAAGTCGAAAAATAAATGAAAAAAAAGTCAACAAATTTCTTTAAAACATTCTTAAAGCAACTCCAGCTTTTTATGTAAAGATATCAAATATCAGTAGAATATCAATCGCATTACCACGGGTTGCCAATTTGCTTTTCTAAATTTTTTTCAATCCTCCAACGAATAACCCATCTGACAGCAAAAACATATTTTTAATTTTTAAGCTTTCGAATGGGACAATAATTATAAGACATGAAGACGAGAGTGAAGTCTATATCGACTGCAAGTCTCTGCAAATACAGTACAAGGAGAAACATGGTCAAATTTTAACTTTCAAAAATGACAATTGCCTTCCTTCTCACGTGATAGAAAAGATGAAACATCTGCCGACTGTCATGTCCATGTTACAAGAAGCTGATAATTTGTCACTTTCCTTCGTCAAAGATCGCGATGCGTCTGTCATATAGAAGTTTCAAATGTTTTTCTATCTCGTTCATTGTTAAATTTGCAGCCGTGTGATTTCTTTTTATATGAATTTGAAATGATTCAGGTTATTATTCAATCAAAGAAAGTTCAAGTCTGGGAAATTTATTTAGTTTGATAAAGGATAATTTTGGTCAGCGATATTGTATGTATTATAGCTTATTTGTCATAAATAATAAACACGTCGATGAAATTATTTGATAAAAATCTTTGGCAGGTATTCTTAAAAATATCTTTGCGGTTCTAAATTTTTTAAGTAAAAATTAGTTATTCCTTCTTTTTGTTTCATGCATATCACTCAATTGTTCATTGAGTTTTGGTTGTATTATTAAATTCAGCTATTTAAAATTGATTACATTTTTTTTTATCTATTTTTAATCATTAAAGTAAAAACTTTCTTCTTTTTAAACATTGTGTAAATCAGTTATTTATTTGTTTTGATATTAGTGAGTATATTTTATAGCGATGATTGAACGAACAGCGTGCATTTTCTGTGACAAGTATTTTATGAACTATTCTCGATCCTGATGAATATCTGTCATTTTTGTATTTGTAACTTTATTTAATTCATTCATTCGTTTTATAGCAATATTTTGTGAAATGTCTAAATGTTTCTAGATATAGAAGTTACACTTGACGACACAACCGCGCGTATAAAACAGTGCTATGCTTAAAATTTTACTGAATTTAATGACGAAGCGAGTGAATAATTGGTTGCAAAGTAACTTAATCGTTAAATGGTGCTTATAGGACATAAAATGATATGTTTCTGGAAGACCCGTATAAGTTATATGAAATTTTATTACGTTTTATTAATTCTTTCAGATTTATTCAGCTGTAGATTTTACCGTAGGTCTAATAAGCGAAGATTAGTAATATATTGGTACTTTACATATGACATTTTTCTCTTTCCTTTTTTTAAATTTTTTATTGTAAATCGTCAACTTATTCTAAAATGTGCGAAAATAAACAAAGCTTGATTAATTTTTTTTTGTTAAACGAACATTGTAAAAGTAAAACACTTGGGTAACACAGCACTGCGCCACTGCCAGTGCCAAAATTCAACAACTTTTTAAGAATTGTCCACACAAGACAGGCTTCGAATTCGATTGAAGCGAAAGACTCATAACAAAAAATAGATTATTTAGCAAGAAAAATGAATTCGATATTTCCCTCAAAAATTTGTTCGAATGTTAAGAATATTCAAACTATCAATTCGAATGGAATTTCTGTACAGCGTCAATTCAGTGACGTTCGAAAGTGCTTTCTTTTACTCGTTCTTAAGTCGTTTTTGTGAGCAAGCTATAAATGATGAAAGAAAAAAAAACTTGCCTTTGGAAATCAGAATTTTTATAATCAATTCAACAAAATAGTTCATCTAAGTGTTCGGAAACAAACAAATACCGTCAAAAAGGTCAAAAAATGATATTAGTGCTGTTTCGAATCAGTATTATTCAGTGACTTGGTTCGAAAGATGTCTGTTCGAAATTTTAAAAGCATAGGTACGTTTTGTGCGCATTTATGTCCCTTAAACTATAACTGAGTGAGTAAGAAAGGATTAAGGAACTCAAGTTATTTACGAGCAGCTCTGTGACCGTAGAAACTTTAAAACGTGGAACGCTATTTCATTTGCTTAATCGGACTGTGTTATTGAGGCTTATTCATGAGATTCTGAAAAGTAATTTTGTTGTACATTCAATATATGGATTAAACCAAACGTGTGTATCATACAAGCATAAAAAATTCTTTACATAATTTTAAAATTGGTTGAAAATTACAACACAAATTTAGAGTGCAAATTATGGTACTATTTTTTTTATAACACCTTAATAATAATAATGTAACTAATAAATATTATTTAAAAAATGTTTATTGCATCAATTTATAAAACTGTTTTTTATAAATAAATTTTTATTTTCAAAAATTGCAGTTTAATTTCATTAAATAAATTGTGTTGAGATACATGTAGGAATTGATGTATAGTATTTGACCTGAACGTCATCCAAGAAGCGTTTTCATCTTTCGTATGTATAATGACGTCATTTTTTATATGTCTGTTTTAGCTGTGGCATATACATTGATATATAAATAATACGCATTAAGATATAAGCATATCTTAATGCGTTTGAAATTTTTTGCACCAATTATAATAATCAATGTGTCAGCGTCAACGTTGTCCCATTCCTAACAATCTTTATGATGGGAGATACACAGGGAAAAAATAAGGCAATAACAGTACAAAATACCCTACTCATATTCTAAGTATATGAAAATACTCTTTTAATTCCTTTGATTCTATATAAAAGAAAATACCAACCAGGCCAGGAAATATCATAAAAAATTTGTATCGTTGGTTTTTTTGGCACCCTTAAAAATTGATGGTCCATCTCGTTGGTGCGATTGAACTTCTTCTGAATAATATTATCAGTTTTGCGTATGATGGTTTGAATTACCGAAACTTCATTAATGGCTACTGGCGGAAAAGATGATAATGATAAATTTAGTGGGGACGAGAAAGATAAATCCCATCAAAATGGCGACGATGATAACATTGCTAAAAATTTAAACAATGAAGCTGATGGCTCAGAAGAAAGTTTGTTTAATTTATTTTATTTTTTATTAATTAATTATTAAACTAAAAATTTTAAATGCAGCCAACGTATTCATCCTGCATATTCATATCATATCACTTCATTATTTTATTTTATGGCTATAAAAAAATAAATAAATGAGGATTATTTCATTCAGAACATCTAATTATTAATAATAGGTATTAAATTAATAATAATATAATTAATATAATGTTTTGAATTTTACTTTTTTACTAAAAGAAGGAAGGCAACAAAAAGCCTAAGACTGTTAAAAAAGTGTTAAATAAATTAATTTAAATTTTAAATGAAAGTACAATAATGATTTCTAGAATTTCTAAATTTTAAAAATTGGTTCATTTTATCAATTTATTCATTATTGAAAGCTTAATGCTTAATCCCTTAAATTTTAAATTAATTATTAATTTGTTTCCAAATTGCATTTCATTATAAAATATAAATAATAATCATTATTCATTATTATTATTATTAAATATAAATTTTTATTATTAATAATACAGCCAAAAATTAAATATAATATGTAAAATGTGTGATAAAGTTTGAAAGATAACAACTGATCATTTGATTAATGAAATATATAATAGAGTTTTGGCAAAAGCACTTAAAATTCTTCCTAATTATTGTGATATTTTTATTTAATTTTTTCCAAGATAAAAAATCTACAAATCGAGATGAGAACCCTTTCAGTTTTAAGAAATTTTTAAAAGCAGCTGACAGCAACCACCAGGTGAATGGTTTTCGAGCCACTCCAAATAGAATAACGAATTTAGATCTGGCATACGACCTTCCTGATTTTGTGCAAGGTCGCTACAACAACTCTGAATGTGATAACAGGCCAACAGCGAGCACCATTGACGGCAATCTGCCTGATTTTGCTCTTCATGATGCAAACAAATCTCTTGGTGCTCGGCCGAAGATTTACAACAGAGTACTGCCGATGTTTAGCACGCCAACAAACAACAATGCCATCAACAACAACAATGACGACGACGACAACATACTTGGTGCACAGAACCACGAAGATTCTCAACCATCCACCCATCCATCCAATGCAACTGATAACTGCTCCAACAGTCTGCCAGATTTCTTATCTGACAGCGGCATAGGACCAACATGCATTCGAGAACCATCCAACAATCATTCTGATGTTTTTACCTCTGTTAGTCCTGCTTTCAATTCATTCGTTGTGTTGTTTGTTAGATTGTTAGACACTGCTTGATTAATTACGTTTTGCATGCATTCACATTGCACATGTGACATTATGTGTAAGACACATGTTTAAATGCTTTCCACTCACTTGCTCAGTTGAAGTCCCACAATGCAGAACTTTTAAAACGTATTGATGATCTGTCACACGCATTGGATTCTGAAAGAGATAGGTTTATCATTTGTTCATCATTTGTTCATTCATTAGTTCATCCATTAGTTCACTCATTAGTTCTTATGCTTGTTCATTTATTTGTTCGCTCGTGTGTTATTCTTTGGTTAACTTCTCACTTTTTCTATCCACAGACCTCTTCTCAGGCATTAGATTATTTATTTTTGTAATATTTTTTTACATTTTCTCATCGTAATTGAAATTATGGAAATAAGCTGTTTGATTGAAGCTCTGATGTTTGACAGCTTCATTGTTAAACTTGTCAGCACTAATCATGCTGATGTTTATTGAAAACACTCTTCTTGTCATGCCGTTATGTTGTTTGGACCGTTGTCTTGGAGCGACAGATAACTTAAAAGTAATGAATGTTCATTGAATTTGATTGGTTAGGAACCACAGACTAACACAGAGGTTGAACCGAATGAAGGAAGCAGATGCATTGGCAGGTGCAGAGAAAACAGTCCGGCAGCCATCTGAAGGGAATAAGGTGAGATCGGTTTGGTTGGCCGTCAAGTGTATTGTAGATGGGGCTGGTTTGTTTAGGAGATAATTTTGAGTGTGATCAGTCTGTGTTTCAATATTTAAAAAATTTCTAAAGTGCAATAGCATTGGGCTACTCAAATATCACTTGTTTTTTGTTACGCTTGTGCTAAAGGTTGTTAGTAAAGTATTTTACTTCTTTAATTTGCATGAAATTCATTATTAAATTAACAGATGGATGAAAAGAGTAACGAGCCATTGCTGAATCAGATGAAAGTTTTACAGGTTAATAGAATTACTTTTCATAAAAGTAACCTCACCCTTACCATTAAGATGTTATGTTAGTCAAGCAGTGCCTTATCAAATGAATTGAACAGGACCAAATAGAAGCATTGCAGACACAGCAGAGGTCATGCACGTGCAGCAACAACTCTCGACAACATTTGGCACAGGCTGCTCAGAGGGTGGTCGGCTCTGCTGAACAGGTTCAACTGCATTTGAGGTACATTGCTTCATATTTTTTTTCATTTGTTTTTTTTTTGTTTTTTTATTTCAAGCGATTTTTTCTATTAGTTCCATGCATTTTATTAAACTCAAAAACGTATAGCCAATGCTTCTGCCCATCATTCTAATGAATGTTACCTTGTGTCGGTCTATGTTGTTACCATGGATCGCGCAGCTGATAATATTTTAATGTTGACATCTTTATAACTAGTGTCAGGAGAAATAATTTTCATCTTCTTTAGCTGGTTGTTTGTTTTTTTTTTTTTGTAAGGTTGCTACTGATTTTATATTTGTACTAATAAAAAAAACAACTGTGCAAACAAATAGACAACTGATGGCGAGTGTGGATGAGTTGAGATTGGCGTCGGAAGTTGTGGCTTCATGTTCTACCTCACTGCCACCACCCCAGCCTCCAACGCAACAATAACATCGGGTCTCGGAGGTCTAGTCACGGAGCAATATAATAAATTCATTAGATTCATTGGCGTTTCGATGAAAAAACATATTTACATCATTCATAGGTTAATAATAAATAGATAATGCTAAATGGCTGTTAAAATGTTAGAGGATCAGCGCTATTTTTGGTTTAGTGATGCTAATTGTACAATCATGTAAACTCATCTGCTTGAGGTTTTTGTTAATAGCGATGTTATTTTAAACTGTTACAATTTATGAAATTTTAGATAAAAATTTTCTGTATAAATATGCTTCTTAATCATTTGTGTACATTACATTTAATAAAATCTTTAATTTGAATTTCGTGATTTGCTGCGTTGTTTTTTCTAGAAGTCGTGTCGATGGTGTTGCTAGAGAAAAAATTATTATTTGCTAGTTGTTGCCAACGAACTTTTCAAGAGATGTCAATCATTTTCTAACTTTGTATGGATGTTGACGACTATTTGTCAACGACATGCAAGTTTGATTGTCAAGTGGGTATCACTTGATAAGCATCTTGTTATGTTACAGTAGCTTTATCGGGATTTTTAATTCTCTTCTCATCTTCAAAACGCTAAAATAAGTTGAGCAGTGCTTTTATTTCTGTTGAAGATTCGGCTGAGAAATCTTCCACTAGCTTTTATTTAGTTATGTTGGTTTCACAAGATGTTTGCTTATTAACTTATGATAACGGTGAAAGAAAGTGTATGTGTTTGTTGGCTAAACGTGTGCGATCAAAAGGTGGAAAGTGCTAAATGTTTTGTTGTTTTCTTGAAACAAGGTTTGGGTTTAAATGTGAGGAAAGAATTAGCGGTAAGACTCTATGTAAAATGAAGTGTAAATTTGAAATTCTAAACTGAGGTGATCCTCAAAGAAGAAATCTTGCACGAAATAAACTGATACTGACCAGCAGCATTCAATATTTAATCAGTGAAGATCAGCAAACAGGATAGCACATTATGAATGACATAGTTGAATGAGAGGGTTGTAAAGTTAGGCTTTGATATCTTGAAGAAATTATAATAAATAAATATTAATAAATCCAATGTTTTTCAAAGCATGTTTTGCAATGTAATCAATATGATCTTTGCACGACAAGTTATTGGTTATGAACACGCAAAGAAATTTATTGGAGAAAACTTGGTTAATGACTTATCAGACATAAATAATTTAAAAATTTCTCACATTGGTCACTATTTTGGGCCCAATCATCCAGCTAAATTTTTTCGAAATTCATGATCAATCTATTTGCCTCAAACTAATACTTTTCAGTTCTGAACTCATATCCGTTACCGAAGTTGATTTACTAAAATATCAACCTCTCTCTATATAAATATCGTATCTTTGGCTAACTGATTCAACATAAGCACTGTAGATGAGTGACATCATTCAAGAACAGGTTGAAAAGCGGGGAACCAAGAATAGATTTTGTGGAATACCTCTTTAAAACTTTCTAACTTCTGATTGACAACTTTCTAACTCCACGGGCTGACATCATTCCAGACAAATAACTTTTGAACCAATCAAGCACCACAGCTCTTACTCAGTAACAAGCCAATTTATACAATCAAATTGCACGATCGGTTGAATCGAACACTTCTGGTAGGTCAAAAACATAGTCAACACTTTATTTATAATGTTTTTGCGTCGAAATTAGTGAAATCCAAAACGGCAAACTTGATCGATGAACTTTACTTTAAGCCATACTGGTTTGCAGAAATAATATTGCATTTGTTAAAAATCTTTTATAAACAATTTTTTCCATGACCTTTGAAAATACAAATATGGGTGAAATCGGTCTGATTATTTATTTTTGTACTTGCTTTAAGTTTGGAACTAGTTTCGTTCGTTCCAAAATTGAAGGAAAGTTGCCGGCTCGGAATTTATTGAAAACGTCAAAAGAATACTGAAAGCGGCAAAACATTTTTTCATCAAGACAATGTTGAATGTTGTCTTGATTATGTTCATTTTTCATATCATGAACAATTCTGACAACCTCATTTTCATTTGTTTTCTAAATAAAAAACTGGATGGTTTTGGAGGAGGTAGAAATCTGGCTAAATCCGAATTTGCCTTCAAATTATTTATGGAAAAATAATCTACAAACTGGTTTCTCAGCGTATTTATATCTTACACTAAATTTTTTTCTTTTCTAAGAATCATATTCAAGAGTTGATTTTTTAGCTATTCCAGGGTTAGTTTTTACCATTGAATTATATAATTATATTATAATTATATAGAATTATTATAGAATTATATAATTATATTATATAATAATTGAGTTATATAATTCCATGGTTTTTACTGTCTCCCATGTTTGTTGACATTATTTTTATTAACCAAAAATTCTATTTGAACCATCTCTAACTATTTTCAATTTACCTGTAAAACTTGAAAAGTTGGTAATTATTTTCATTAAATCAGGATAGATGTTTTATCCAGATTTCACACAGTTTTTATACTTTGCTGATTCAAATAAACTTTCTATGAACCACAGTTGCTTGAAACGAACAGTTTCTATGGAATAAACGGAATAAACGAGCAGTAATTATTTATTGCATCACATAAAAATTTAGAAATTTGTCGATCAATACAATCGTATATCGTACTAAATATAAATAAATGTGTGTGTGTGTGTGTGTGTGTGTGTGTGTGTGTGTGTGTGTGTGTGTGTGTGTGTGTGTGTGTGTGTGTGTGTGTGTGTGTGTGTGTGTGTGTGGGAGGTGCTTGCGCGTGTGTAGAGAAATACTTTGGAATAGCAGAACTATAAAACCAATTAAAACCTAAGTAAATTTAAATAACAAAATTTTGTAAATAAGTTTTTTTTTATCTAATTTTAAATTAATTATAAATATCTACTATTCTCTAAACACTCTACTTTTCTTAGAAATTCTATAACATCTGCTTCAACATCTAAAAATAGGTGGTCTGTTCTATCTAAACTTCTACATAAAAAATCTTCTCACTCATCTTTTTCTGCTCAACAGTTTCATGACTTTTTTGTAAATAAAATTACTTCTTTAAGAACATCTAATTTTAATTTTTCTTCTCATAACTTTACTAAACTTACTACTGAATCTTTCTCTGTATTTACTCCAATAAATCTTTTAGAACTAACTAAAATTATTAATTCTATGTCGTCTACAACCTGTTTTCTAGATCTACTTCCTTCTAATTTACTTAATTAATCTTTTTCCACCTCTAAATTTCCTACTTCTTATAAGAATTCTATTGTTATTCCTATTCTTAAAAACACATCCCTACCTCTTTATCTAATTATAGACCTGTAACTAATATTACTTTCATCTCTAAAATAATAGAAAAAGTTGTTTTTAATCAACTCTCATCCTATTTAGACTTTAACTCTTTGCTACCTGAATCTCAATCTGATTTCAGACCTGCTCACAGTACTGAAACTTCTTTACTTAAAATACACAATGATATCCTTCTCTCTAGTGACAATAGTAATCTTACTCTTCTTCTTGCTCTTGACTTTTCTTCAGCTTTTGATACTGTTGACCATACTATTCTCTTGAGACTGCTGCATCTTTCTTTTAATATTACTGATTCTTGTCTATCTTGGTTTTCTTCTTATCTCTGTAATCGTTTTTCTTCTGTTCTCAATAATTCTACTTCTAACTCCTCTACTCTTACTTTCGGGGTACCTCAGGGTTCTATCCTTGGCCCTCTTCTATTTATACTCTATACTTCTGAACTACCTCGTATTATTAATAACTTTTCTTTCTCTAGTCAACTATATGCTGATGATTTATGCTGATGATGATTTATTTATACTTCTTTTCCTCCATCTAATCTCAATAGTGTTCTTCATAATTTATTTCTATGTCTTTCTTCGATTATCGCTTGGTCTGACTCAATGTGTCTTAAACTTAATCCTTCTAAGTTTGAATTAATTTGTTTTAATAAATCTAAACACTCAATTACTATTCCTCCTATTATCTTACCTGATTCTAAAACTCTTGATGTCTCTTATAAGTTTCGTAGTCTAGGTTTTATCTTTGATTCTACTATGTCTCTCTCTTCTCAGATTAATAGTGTTGCTAGAAGCTCTTACTTTCATCTACGTAGAATAAAAAAACTTTTGCCATTTCTTGATGATCCTACTCTTCTCCTTCTTGTTACTTCGTTAGTCTTATCTAGGATTGATTATTGTAACTCGCTCTACTATGGTCTTCCTGACTCTATACTCTATCCTTTAAGTAAAGCTTTTAACTCCGCTGCCCGTCTAGTTGCTCGTGCCCCTTTCTTTTCTCATATATCTCCATATCTTGTTCTCTTGCACTGGCTACCATTGAGGAGCGCTGTTGAACATCGCGGAAATAGCGCTTTATAAGCTAATTGATTGATTGATTGAATTTTGGTTATTGAAATATGAAAGTTTGACAATGATAGTTTTTTACAGAACAATTTTTCTTTTTTGATATTTTAGAATATATTTAAAAATGAGATTTCAGTAAATCTTGTGAAGAGTGGATGCTCTGAAACTGAATATGAAAATAAAAATGTGGAAATTAACAAATTTTTAAAAGAAAATTTTTTCTTTAAAAAAATTTTTAAATGTTACTTTTTTACCATTAATTTTGTTAAAATAGCAATATAAATTTTTCAATCAAGTTTTGTAAGTTTTTTTGATCACTTTATAACATCTTAAACACCTATAAGCCTTCGAATAACCTATAAAAACCTGAAAAACCTAAAAAATAAAACAAAAACCTATTGTTTTTAACAGCTCTGTGAAATAGAAGATTTTGTGCGTGAATTATGATAGATTCAGGCATACATCAGACAGACGGGTGTGAACATTCGCCTGCTGTGGCTAAATATATAAATAAGATGCAAATGAACATTCGTTAACATGACGAATCGAACGTGACTTGTGCCTAACTCGGTCGGCGCAGACCCGGTTTACAAATCTTACTGATTTCTTGAGAATTTTAATTTAAAATTAATTTAATTTAAATTTATTTAATTTAATTTTATTTTACTGAGATTGAAATGCACTTACGATAGGATAGTTGCCACCTGTGTTAAACAAGTATTGTTTGAATTGAAAGATAGATAAATAAACCTTTGTTAACAAGAAAGAATGTGATGGGCTGTGTGGCGTCTGTTAAGATCAAACCAGCAGAGAAGGGGCTGATCAGCGAGAAGTACGAGACGAACGACAACTCGAAAGTTGAACTGCAGAAAATCGTCCTGCCGCTGAACGAACGCGACGTCTTCAGCATCACACAGACGTGGAAAACCATCAATAAGAACATTACCAGTACTGGTGTGGCCATATTTTTAAAGTTTGTTGAACATTCTTCGCACTTTTGTCTTCTACTGTAACGCGTTGCATCTTGCACTGTCCTCTGCATCTGTCAGAGTTTGAATTTTTTTAAAGAATAAAATGCATTCATTCATTCGATAAATTTTGCTTGACGCACTTCAATAAATTAACAAAAATATATTATTAATACGCAATTATAAATTTACCTAAATTAATTATATATAACATCACAAAAAATTATTCATTATAAAATTAAATGGTCAATCTATTATGCCTTACATAATTTTATTCAACGAAATTATTTTTATGAAAACATTTGACCTCAGTTGGTGTAGTCATAAATGTTTTGCGGGTTGAGTTTGAATTTTATAGGTAACGTTGGCGGTCTTCGATTTTTTTTGCTCTTCGAACAATTAAAAAAAAATTTTTTTGTAAAAATCCTTCCTAAATCGGCTAAATCTTTTCCTAAATCTGCTAAATCTTATCTTAATTCTGGTAAAGTGATTTATTGTGAAGAGAGGCTAAAAATCCTCCAGTCCAGTCCTAAGTTTTTATCAATTTATATACAATTTCAATATTATCCCTGCGTAAACAAGTCATTGTGATTGAGAGTTTCAAGCCAAAGTTCCTTTGGTTGCGCTTTTATTTGACATTAAGGTGGACTGAAAATGGCCGAAATGTTGTTAGATTGAGTATAAATAAAAATAAAAACAATTGAAACAATCAACACACACCCACACAACGCAGACTTGCACACAAACACAGACACAAACAAAAAATACACACACAGAAAAAAACAAACACACATACACACAAACACACATGCATCCAAACGCACACGCTCATTAATGCATCATTCACTGTCACGTTACACAATATCAAAACTGGCTGTTGTAAAAAAGGCAAAACTTTTTTTTCGTTCCTTTCTTCGTTTGATTAAATTAGATTCAAGGTGCTTCAACCTTTTTGCAAGGAAGAAGACATTTTTCTGAAATTTTACACACAATTAATTATTATTTTTATCAGATAGTTCAAATTAAATCAATTCATTAATGTTACGTTACATTAATTCATTTTATTTTAGATCTTAATTTGATTTTTTGATTATATTTTGACTAATTCATCACGTAAAAATAATAATCATTTACTTTTTTTCTAGTTCTCTCTCTCCACACACAACTCACCAAACACCACACACAACCCACCACACACAACTCACCACACATAACCCACCAAACACAACCCACCAAACACAACTCACCACACATAACTCACCACACATAACCCATCAAACACAACCCACCAAACACAACTCACCACACAAAACCCACCACACAAAACCCACCACACACAACTCACCACACACAACCCACCTGCTACAAGTCTTTTTTTTATCGGTCATGGTTATGATGTGAATGATATCACATAATAATTAATTAATACATTATTACATATCGACAGTAATAATATTGATAATGATGTTGTTGATGATGATGATGTTGTTGCGGTTGTTGATGTTGTAGATGAAGATGATGATGTTGTTGTTGATGATGTTGTTGTTGATGATGTTGTTGATGATGATAATGTTGTTGTTGATGATGACGATGTTGTTGTTTTGATGTTGTTGCTGTTGTTGTTGATGATGATGATGTTGATGATGACAAGCAAAAGCAAACACTTCTTATATAAGGAAGGCAGTGCTGATGTATGCTGTATTTACATGTAGGTATGTGTAACATTTATGTTGGTGACATTCCAAGATTTTATTTCTTTTTACAATTCTGCACTATAGACATTACCACTTTCCGATCAACCATCCATCGGACCAGCCACCGACTGACGAACTATGAAGTGAACAACTAAATAACCACCCAATCCAACCGACTAACCGACCGATCCACTAACCAACCAACCGACTACCATCCCACCAACTAATCATCTAACTTAACAATCCAGCTAACAAACCATATAACTTATCAACCAACCGACTGACAACCAACCATCCAACCAATCACTCAACCACTCGACCAACCACTCAACCAACCAACCATCCAACCAGCCATCTAACCAACCAACCAGCCACTCGACCAATAAACCAGCCACCCAACCAATTAACCAACCAACCAGCCAGCCACCTAACCAACCAACCAGCCACTAAACCAACCACTCGACCACTAAACCAACCAACTAACTATTCAGAATGTTTGAAAGTCGTTCAGACGTGAAAGCGATGTTTGAGCAGTTCCGATCGGTGGACAAGGCCGACCTGGGCACGAGTAGGTCGCTGGAGAACCACGCCCTCCTCGTCATGAATGCCCTCGACGAGGCCATCGGCAACCTGGACGATGCGGACTACCTCATCGACATGCTCTTCAACACCGGCAAGTCTCATCGAAGATTCGAAAATTTTAGCCAACTCATTTTCTGGGTTCGTATTGTATCAAGTTGCAAATTATTTCTTTCTCTTGTTGTAAATGAATAATTTGGCTGTATTGAATCAAACACTTGAAGTTTTTTGATCATCTGATTTTGCAAAATTGTTTTAATTATTTTTTTAGTTTTTATGTTTATTTAACTTAGGTATGTCAAATCAAATAATGTAGGTGTAACTTTGTATTCTTGTTTCTATTGTCACGAAATTTTTGAAAAAACAAATTCGACTTTTATTTTTGAAAATTTATCACGAACCACCTGCTCCATTATAGAAGCCGCACCGAGTGGCACGTACGAACGAATGAATGACAATGTTTCATGTTGGATTATCAGTTGCGGCTGGTCTTTCGCTGCATACACGCACTAGATGCACAATATAATTTTGAGAAGAAAATAATTTTACCTACATCTTTTAATTAAAAACAAATGTGACGGTCAGTTCAAATACATATGTTAATATACGTGTCGTACACATATTTTTAACTTTCATTTTTTTAAGAAATATTAACCAAACGATGGTTATCGGCTATCATTAAATAGATGTCTTGTTTCATCTCTCTCTCTCTCTCCTCTCTCTTTTTCTCTCCGTCTCTTACATACTATCCTTTTTTTCTGACTTTAGAAGAAAAATAATTAAAAAATTATGTATGTGAGTTATTAAAAGTAGTTCATTATCCATTTGACGTCTTGGTTGAAATTGTACAATCATCAGAAAAGTATACAAAACCGAAGCTGTTTCAAGAAAATTGGCATTAAAGGTAAAAGCTGCACGATAAACTTTTAAACTCTTAAACAAAAATATTTCAGACGCAGATGGTTGGATGTATTTGCATGGAATGAATTGGACCGCTTGTTAATAATAACTAAATGAAAAATGTCCGATAATAATCAGCCCATTCGCCCCCGAAAGATCCAATTTTAAATACTTTTTCGTTGAAGTAGTACAAAAACGAAAGACTAACTTGAAAAGGACTGTATGTTTGGAGAGAAACGAATGAATAAATTAATTCAATCTTAATAAATTATAGATACGCAGTGTGTGTACTGCGCAATAATATGCAGCGATGAGGTTGTTGCGTCATAAGACAGCAAGATGCGCGGCTGATGAACGGAAGGTGAGAAACACCTTCGTGTTGGAGTGTTATATGTGTAATGAAATAAGATGGCACGCGCCACTTCATAAGACCAGTTTCATGTGGCATGTTAATTAAAGCGCCGACGCCTTTCATCTTAATAACATCGATATAAGAATTTAATTAAAATTCTTTAGCGGAGGAATTTTTCACGGCGTGGTCTTCTCTACTTCGCTGTTTCCTATTCTAAAACGGATTTTAGAATTTTCTGCTCTAATTAAATTAGTTTCTTGTCGATCAAACGAGACCAACTAAAAACATAATTCAAGCAGATACATATTTTTCAATAATTGAACAGTTGAAATTGGGTACATTAGACATCCAACAAACAGGTCACCAAATTTTTCAATATAGTAGTTCCACTTCGGTAAAGCTAGCCAATCACAACCAGTGCTGAATTGTTATTTTAATTGCTCAAAAAATTATAATAAATTACATTTTAATAATTGTTACAAAATATTAAAATGAAATTAACTACAATACAAATTTCTATTATTTTCGTTAACTAAAACTTAATTTTGGATTAAAAAATTTATGATTAAGTTGGTCGGCATTCACGCCACGAAACTGAGCGAGGCAATTTTAATTTGGGTAGTTAGGTGCACAAAAATTAAAAAAGCGACATAGCAACTTCAACCTCACTAAATCTCCAAACGTTTGAAATAACGTTTAAAAATTGACTCAAAAAACTTTTTAGTAAAAAAATATATTCTTGCGATGATTTCACCGAAATACGATTTAACTTTGAAACAATAAGCGTATTTGAACCTTATATTTTACAGGCCATTGAAGAGCCTTTCATAACGGCAGTCAGTGAAGCTCTGGGTGATCGATTCACAAGTTACATCGAAAAGTTGTACAGGAAGACCATCAAATTCATTCTCACCACACTCACCACTGGATTTCTATATGGAGACCAGCTTTGAAGTTTCATCGATAGTTTAATATAATGGCGTCGTCCTTTTTATTCCTGATTCGTTTCATATGATCTAATTTTTCTTATTTTTTCACATAGGTTTTGACGAATTACTTTAGTGACATGAAAAATATTTAGTACCTTTTTCGCGAAATTAAAAATCATATTGAATGATAAGTAATAAAACTTTATTTATAATTGTCATAATGAGGGAAAAATTAAAAATGTTAATAGTTAAATGAGAAGGCACAGCAGAGTGCTGTCGGGAGTTTTCTCAATATAGGCGTTCGAAGTTTCCAAGAGAAGATGGTTGCAGCCAGTTGAGCGGGTCCCACTGAGCTTGTGCTGCATCGTAGATATGCAAGGTGAAGGCATTTCTCGAACGATCTGATTTGTTGTTGTCACTCTTGTGCACTACCAATCCATCGATCAAAACAAGAGAACCTTCAAAAAATTATCGTAAACAATTGATCAACTTGAAGTGTATGTGTGAATGCATTTGATAAACCTTTTTTGACGGGCGCTGAGACAAATTCTTCATCCTTGTAACGGTCCTTCATTTCACTCGTTGTAAACGATGCGTTGCCATCTTTATTCACCAATCTTGTCTCAAAGTGTAGACCAGCTAATAATAATTTTTATATTGTAACTGAAAAACGTTACATTCATTTAAAAGCTAAAAAAAATCGTACGATTTTCTAAGCACAATAAAATCTATTCATTAGTTGAAACAGCGATCAACCGACAAAGGTGAGAGCCAGGTATGAAATGCAAACAGCCATTATTTTCATCGGCATCGTCAAGAGCCAGCCACAATCCGACACCATTCAGCGGCGTGGTGTGAAGGTAGGTGGCGTCCTGGTGCGCTGGAACTATAGAAAATTGGTTTTTTAATTTATAAAAAATATCCAAATCAATTTTTTTTTATTGAAAAACTCAAAAAAATTAATCCAAAATTAAATACCTTCATTCCCTATATTTGGTTGCTGTAATGAAAGTTTAAATAATATTATAATTGAAACAAGTTACAGAACATTTTTTTCTGAATTACGAAACATCAATCATTTCATTCGAGTTTGTTAGGAATGTAGAAAAAACGGATTTTAGTTTTCATCTAAACTTTTTCTTATTTCAAGTTTACAGAATATTTTTTCATAGTACAATTCAAAGAAATCAGAGGTTAATTTAAAATTACTTAACAGTCAAAATCACTTATGATGACAGATTTGGCTAATTATGATTCCAGTAATACGGTTAGCTTTTAGACTCGATTGAAATTCCTATTTATTCCATAAAATAAAAATTGTGTTAACACAATGTGATTTAACCAAAAAAATCGATCATTTCAAATGAAATTTCAAGTACTTTAAAAAAATCATTTATTTCTAACATTACTGTAACCTGATACAGATCAATTTTTCTTTTTTTTGTATACCATATCACAATAATTTTTTATTTATAGACACAGGAACCAAAAAAGCACCAAATAAGTAGAATTTGTTGAATTTTGCTCAGTATAGAAGTTTAACTGCATTAAAGCTCTGCTCAATCAGAGCTGCTCAATGAAGAATAAAAATCTTTTCAAAAAATTAATTAAAAATAGGCGCACAAACTTTGAAGATGTACATGCTCTGGACAATAGTTGGTTGCTCATATTTCAAAGTTCTCATCACATCCTGCACGTCAAAAATTTACTTTATCAATTACAAAATAAATTAAAAAATTTTATAAGTTGTTGTACTTTTATTTTTTCGTCCGTAGAAATCTTTCGAAAAGTTGGATCAAGTATGTGCAATGCTGGATAAAAAAGTTGATGTTTATTTAAAGCAAACTTTTAAAATAAAAAAGGTATAATAAACTTTCATTCATCGTAGCTTGTTTAATTTGACTGATCATTTCAAGGAAAATTGTATTTGTGCATTGTGATATTTTTAACATTTCATAAAATTAATTAAATTTGAAATCAAATAAATAAACCCTAATTTATGCCTTATGGGTGATTAAAATGTTAATTTAAATTAACTTACAATCAACTAACGAGAAAAATTTCACAAAACATAACGATGTTAATGTTAATTAACTAAATTTTAACATAATGCTAATTAAACGTTACCAAATATTAACCGAATTTTAATATTATTAACTTTAACATGTAACTGAGGCAACAAACCATGTCCAATTTTGTTCACAGCATTTTCATGATCAATTTTTATTTCACCTAAATATTTGTTTGTAAATTTTAATATTACAAGTCGATCCTTCACGTTTTTACAAATTGAATCTTCAAATACGTTTTTACTACAGATTCACAAACTTCAAATTCCCAAAACAAGTTTCAACGCAATTTGATGCAATTTTTAATTTGATAAATTATAAAATACTGCGATTTCACTTATTATTTGTATTTGACATAATTATCTACTGAATAAAAACGTAAAACTTCAAAATTACCAACCTGCTTCATCAAATGCAGACGGTTCATAAAATAATCGAATCTTATCGTTACTTTCGAGAAAGTACGCATCCCTATAAAGCTGTAAACAAATCAAAATGGCGGCCAATTTACGATAAAATTGATCACGCGATTTTTACATGTACATTCTTAACAGAACACACCAAGAAAAATAAGTTAACCAACCTGCGCACTTTTGCTTGTCGAGAATGCCAGTCTATTATCACCATCTGGTTTTTTCACCAAGTTCAGAGCTGCTAATTTTAATTCATTGGCGACCTCCTCACTAATAAAGTTTGGCAAGATGACGAACCCTTTCTTCTGAAACTAATAAATAATAAAGTCCAATGTTGTTGACGCTCTGCTGTAATGTGTTTTGTATATGCACAGATATCAATATCAATCTATTTACTTACCTCTTCCAGATTGAACATGGTTTTCAACTTTTTTTTAATTTTTTTTTATCTTAACTATCTATTTATTTTCTTTGCAGTTAATTTTTCACTTTTTTTAACCCAGCGTCAGTCAAAACAAAATGAGTTTTAAGTGAAGTAACCCACTTTGAATGATTGATGAAATAACTTTTTTAAATACCTTCAAAGAAGTTAATTTATTACATAGCTGCGTACTTACTGCTGCCACATGTGCCAGAAGTGATATTTGAATGTTTGAATATTTACGTATAAGGTTCAAAGAGCAGTTCTTATTTGACACTACTGACTATCAAAATCTTAGTGTATTGTAGTAAGAGTATGTTGAAATTTAATTATTAATGGATGTCTCTGTTGGTGATTGTTTCAACCTTAGTTAATTTTTGTTTTTGATGAAAAATTATAAATGATTTCCCCACAAAAAAACATTATAAAATGAATTGACGACGTATAATATGACCACGGTGATGTAACATGTAAATTACATATCACGGAAAATAGAAACAACTAATTGCTTTTCAGATTAATTACTGTTTTTATATCGAGTTACCAGCGGATTAGATTGCATTTGGATATTAGAAATATTACAAACTCGTCAATAAAGTTCTGAAAACTTGCGGTTTTCCAGTATCCAAATTAACATTTTTAAATTGTTTCAATTTAAGATAAGAGGACAAGATTTTTACTCAATTCATCTTTTATTTTATTCATCCACTTCGCCATATTTTAGCTTAACTTATAATTATTGTTATAGAAGTCAAAAAAGGATTTTCTACTCGATTTAATTCATCTTTTTTTATTCATCCACCTCGCCAATGCCAGGACCATTTAAACCTGGGAATTTTTAGAATGATCAGCTAGTCTGTCAATGTTGAAACTATTTAAACATTAGGACGATGAATTTAAACAAAACTCTTTATTAATTGTTATCCAATATATTCTACGTACCGCTATGGCTGACATGTTCAAACTTTGATCCTTAGAAATAATTCTAGCTGCCTAATTTTGGATCGATCGACTGCAGACTATATGTGCATAAAAGCACATATGTGTGCGTGTACTAAACGATGTGGGCATAAAAGCACATACGTGTGTGTGTACTAAAAATGCGAGGGTTCCTAATCCAGATTTGGATTTTCGGATCCAAAGTTGAGGATCCACCATTTTACGGGTCTAAAATCAACCGAAAGAACGAAAAGATTTTAGATTGTCGGAAAAAGTTAATATAAATATGAACAACGATTATGTAAGAAACACTCATAGATATATTGATGTTTGCGCGATTTGTTTCATCTAAAACTGCCGCAAGTTTGTTATTTATAAAATCTAATTTTATTTTTGTAAACTTTTTTTGAAACAGCATTTTTGGTTTTAAGATCGTATGAAAATTGGATCCGGATTCGGATCCATCCGGATCCATCATCAAGATTAGCACCCAGATACCACGGATCTCAAGTTCTTGGGTTCGTCCTATTCCTATATGTACAATATTGTATGAATATATGTGTGTGTGCGCGTGTGCGCGTAAGACGAATGGAGGATTCCAGACTTAATTAAATAATTAAGATCAGAACTCTCAGAACTACCATGTGATGCAATCTCAATGCCATCAACAAGTCACAGATGAATAATATAACTTCACATTTGTTATTTCTTGTTGTTTATTAGTTGTTAGGACATAGACAGACAATCACGCGGGATATTATTTGAAACTGCCTAATTAATAAATAATAATTATCAAAGATTTTATTGATGGAAATTTGGAAGTTATATTTGGTACCCGTTTAAGTTAATTGATTATTCTAGAAGGTATCGATATCCAGCCAGGCAGCGATGTGGATAATATTTATAATTTAATTACTTCAATATTATCTTTTCATGGGTTGATAATACTTTTTCAGATCCGTCTAATCAGTTTAATTGTATCGCTATTATAACGAAAAGGTGAAATTAAATAAATTTTACTTTTGTCATGATGTAGCAAAATGTACAAACTTGTCATATGAATACCCATGTTTATTTTTTTAAATTTTACGTATACAAAAAAAGTTAGAAACATTTTTTAAACGCAGGTATGATTAAATTAAATGAATACAAAATTAGGAATAAATTTGCTGATACTGCATAGTGAAACGCTGAGACGTGACATGTTTTAATTGTTTTCCGAAATTGCCATTTTGGAACTTTTTGAATAACATTTCAGAAAAGGGTTCAGAAATGTTCATGCTATCTATATAAATCATGAAATTAATATCGTTTCCATGTTGTTGCATTTTTATTATGAATTATCTGAGTATTTTCTTATTATTGTTGCACGTATATAAAAGCTTTCTGAAGTTATTTTTCAACGTTAAAATTATTTTATTTAAACATTTTTGGTTTAAGTCTTCTCAGAAGAGAAAAATTAATATTTGTAAATTACTCCCGTAAATCATTTATAAATTATGCCTACGCTACGCTAGAGTCTGTCCGCTGACGACATTCATTATCGAGACACGAACCAAGTTACCAGTGCTGCCAATCAGGTAGTTTGTTTTACGACTGTTCGCTATCTCAACCAACCTATTTGACCGTACACCGCTTTTGTACATGAAATAAATGTTAGCCATTTCGTAAGAGCTCTTATGATTTTTAAAAACTTGTGCGTGCAGCATTTGTTGTTTTCATACTAAAGACCATATCAACAATAATTTGACATCAACGGTTATCAACGTCAAACTTTGCTAAACTTATAAAGAGGTAAACGTTTTTAATCAAATCTTCGTTCTTTTCTTGTGAAATACTAGTTTTCTCAGTTTGTAGAATTAAATTGAAATTTATTACGAATGCATATAAATAATTTATAAACGCCATCCATCTTTTGCCACTGTAAAGTGTTATGTCCCTTTTCTACAATAGTTTTGTCCTGCTTTTGTTTTTGAAAAGACATCTTTGCCTGATTTTTCCCACAAAAAGTGAGAATCCTATTATGATTGTGTTTAAAAGTAATTACTTTCCGGCAAGATCTAAAATGTGAAGACATAATTAAATAACTTGAAAGACCATATTCTAAAACGAAATTTTTTTTTTATGATCATAAATATTTATAAAGCTCCTACGAATGCTTGAAAAACACCTAAAAATGTATGTTAAATATGTGTGTTGAAAGAAGACGAAGCAGTCAACTGTCAATAGATCAGTTTGCACAAACCTACGTTTAAAAATATGCAAGCTTAACCGCATGTAATAATAATCATAGCCTTGTTCGAAAATAAACGAATCCAGCAACTATAAATGTGCAGTTGAATTCAGATGCATGCTATGCATTTCTTTTGCAATTTTGTGTTCTATTTATAGCCTTCATGAGAAAGTGTTATTTTAAAATGTTACACCAACAATTTAAAATCTGATTTGAAAAATTTATTTGCAGCAGATAACTGTAAAGATATAAAAATTATTAAACAAAATGGTTGAACACAAATGCTAATCAATCAATCAGTCACCTGTTGAATGCAAGCTCACCGCTGATTGCAATAGTAAGCAGTACAATGAGCTACGTAGGTTAGCATATTGCTTACAAATCAATAACATTAGTCATTTTCTTTCACGTACCACTGCAGGTGTTGCCTAATGTCTACGTATCAGTTAGTTTCTGCTTATAATTTTTCGAGATCAGTTTGATAAATATCATTTTTGCATTTATATTTTGAAAATTTCGTTTGCAAAGACAACTTTATAAAATACTCAGGTGTGCTAAATAAAAACCAATACGAAAACGTTTGCTCCGTGTGGCCGAGTGTCATCGTGAAACATGGCAAACACGAATTTTGATGTGGATTCATTCAATTTTGGTCGCATAATCAGGTCGAACATTCAGCCGAGGAATGTCGTCATACAACGATCGACGGGGCTCGGCGCTCCACCCGGAGTCCTCATTGAAAGATCCTCCAGGTTGGTTTCTTCTTTTTTGCAAAGTTTCAACAATTAGCAGATGCTAATGTGTGTGGAAGTTTGTAAAATGTCCAAATGTTTTACAAATGAATTATTTGAAATTGTTTAAAGATATGCTAGTTCCGTGACCGCACCAATACTCGGAGCTGCAGGGATCGGTGTAAATGAAATAAAATTCACCAGAGACAAAGAAAAAAAAGACATGCAAGACTTAAACGAAAGGTGGGCTGGCTGTCGTTTATAATTTGAAAAATGATATTTAGTTGGACGTAGCTTTATATTATTTTTCCAACAGATTTGCAAGTTATATTGAAAAAGTGCGATTTCTGGAAGCTCAAAATCGCAAACTTGGTGATGAGTTAGAACGACTAAAATTAAAGTGGGGCAAAGAAACAAACAACATCAAACTCATGTACCAGACGGAACTTGACGAAGCCAAAAAATTACTCGACGACTCCGACAGAGAGAGACAAAAACTTCAAGTTCGTGTGTCGGCGTTGGAAGAACAAATTGATATTCTCAGACGCAAGTGAGAAATTATTAAATGTGCTGCATTTCATTTTTTAAAACTTGCAATTTTATAAATTATTTGATTTATAAATTACTAGTTTTTGGATTGTTCATGATTATTTGTATAAATGTAGCTTAATTTGAACCAAAAATGTTGATTGTGCTGGCCAGATTGGAAGAAGCAAACATCGCAGTTCAGGACAGTCGAAGCAAAGTTGAAAAGCAGATTCAACAATTGGCGGACTATGAGGCCGAAGTGAATTTGTTAAAACGAAGGATTGCTCTGCTTGAGGGTGACAGGGAGATCAACAAAAAAACACTCACTCGTCTGCAAGATGCTCTTAATAGAGCCAGAATCGTAAGGATAATGTTATTTGGTGTGGTGTTTGCAAACATGAATTGAATATAAATATATTTTTATTGAAATATTTTCAAACAATGCGAACAAAATATACAGGACCTTGATAACGAATCGTTACTACATCAAGATGCTGAAAATAGAAGGCAGATGTTAGAGGAAGAGCTCGAATTTTTGAAACAAGTTCACGAACAGGTATAACAAACGATATAAATTTATTAAAATTTTTGACAAGTTTTGTTCAACGTTCAGTTTTGTTCACAGTGCTTGTTTTAGAAAAGATAATTGTTCAAGAATAACAAATTGAGCAATTTATTTTAGCAAGTATTAATAGTTTAATTGAAAGAAACTTTTTTAATTTGTTTATCACTTGTCACATTTCGGCTCAACCTAATTAGATAAAAATATTTATCTTTTTGAAATAAGTTTTCATTTTTTTAAAATGATATTTAAAAAGTCATTAAAACGACGTTTGATAAATTTTGAAAAGGAATTACGAGAATTAGCAGCACTGGCCTACAGAGACACAACAACTGAAAACCGCGAACTCTGGAAGAGCGAGATGAGCTCGAGTTTGAGACAAATGCAACAACTGTACGACGATAAAGTTGATGACATGAGGAAAGAACTTGAATCTTTTTACACCATGAAGGTCAGTGTTTTTTTTTACCAAATGCATTGTAGTTGCACTAAATTATTCCACTTCTCTGCTTACGTTTCAGGTACAAGAATTCAGAACTGGAGCCACGAGACAGAATCTTGATACCGTTCACACGAAAGAAGAAATGGTTCGCTTAAGAAGTCAATACAGTGACATACAGGGCAAGCTGTTTGAACTGCAGTCTAGAGTAAGCGTCTGATGCGTCATTGTGTTTAATTTTTATTTTAAGCATTAACTAGAAGGAACAAATGTTTCTAAACCGCCAAAAATTCCGAATCTCTTTTCAGAATGATAATTTACAACGAGAAATTGACGACTTGAAACAAGAAAAACAGACCAGAGAAAGGGAATTAGAAACCGAAAACGAAAAGTTGATATCAGAAGTTGCAGCGTTGAAAGCTGAGATGGAAAGCATAACTCGGGAACTGCAAGATTTACTCGACGCCAAATTGGGCTTGGAATTAGAAATTGCCGCCTATAGAAAACTTCTGGAAGGCGAAGAAGACAAGTAACTGACAAGAACAATTTGTTTCAATTCCACTTGATAATGTTTTGAACAGTTATTTAAAATTTATAACATGGTTATAATGTTTCAGGATTGGTCTAAGACAAGTAGTTGATTCAATGTTCACAACGATGACGACGGGATTTTCAGGACCAGGTGGACCAGGAGCGCAGCCAACTGCAACCTCTACTTCCTCGTCGTCTGCCGTCTACGAATCCAAATATTCTTCTTCGAGGGGTGGGGGTGCCGTCAAATCTTCCACGTCGAATAATTATGCGTCGTACGGTAGCGTGGGTGGAGGAGGTGGTGGGGCTGGCTACTCGTCTGCCACATCTTTCGGAGGAGGCTATGGAGGTGGTGCTTCAATGTTTTCGTTATTAATTTATTGTGTGGTGTTGTTGTAAAATGTGTTAGTTTGCTTGGATAGTTTTTGTTGAATTTAAAACATAGTGCTGCTACAATACAAATAAAAATTGTTAAAAAAATTAGACACCGCATTAAATGTGAACCAAGTCGTCAAAGGGGACATGTTGGCGAGGACTACCTACCAAAGAAGTGCCAAAGGACCCATCGCCATCGCGGAATCATCACCAGACGGGACGTACATCTGCCTGGAAAACACTGGGAGGAGGGTAATGACCTATCATCATTCCATTAACAACTAACATAAAAAAATAGCCAATTATTGTGTAAAAATATTTCATACAGATGTTTTTTAACTTTATTCTTTATGCTATGTTATATTAACGAAAATTTTTTAAAAACTGATTCTATTTATTTATTATGTATTACGCATTAAAATGGCTAAAAGTTAATTTCAATTTTAAAGGAAGAAAACCTTGGAAACTGGACGATACGTCGAATTGTGAACGGCAACTCAATGCCTGTGGCCAACCTTCCAAGTGATTTCAGAATTGCATCCGGTGCCAAAGTCAAAGTTTGTTTAAAAGACAACCGTATTTTATTTGTAAAAAATTCAATTAAAAACCCACATCAACGTGTTGTACAGCGTACGTGTACACGTAACATCACAATAGCTTGTACAGATATATCACGCCAACTTGTATCGTAAACACTCGCACATCACATCAATATGAATGAATGAACACATGGCATCAACATGTACACACACACACACGCACACACACACACCACACACACGCACACATATGACTCCGTTGTGTGCAGGTCTATGCCAGAGGAACGAGACCACGAGACAGCTCGATGTACGACGTTGAACTGTACAACTATTCAACATTCGGTCAAGGTGAAGACATAAAGACGTACTTGTGTAACACGTCTGGAGAGGTGGGAAAATTCTTTTCCAATTAATTCCTTTCCTATTTGCTTTGTTGTTTCGATGAATGAAACATTTTCCTGCTGTAATCTATTTAAGAAATTTTGTCGTATTTCTCCAACAAATATTTTAATCATTAAAATTAATCAATCTAATTCAAATAATAATATTTTAAAAAATTGTTAGGAACGAGCAACACAAATCCAGAAGACGGTCTACAGTTGAATGAAGCAGTATTGAATGGAAAAGAAAACTTTTCGAATTTCGTGTGCGTTGGTGATATGGTGCCCTTCAATTCCAACTGTTTGGCTGGAATGTTCTCACTTACTTGTCTTAATATTATTAACGTTAAGAAAAGTAGTTGTTTTATATTTGCTTCAAAGTGTCAACTCCTTTCAAGTGTCAATTAAGAAGAAAGGAATTTTAATATATTGGGTTAAGAATCCAGTTCATAGATGAAATATTGATTAGATTATCATCGTTCATATTTATTATTTTGTTTTAAACTTTCTTGGCCGGTAGTTCTTAAACCTCTTGTTTAAAATTTTTCTTGCAATGAAGAAATGCCTTAACTGCAGACGAGTATTGTCCTAATTTATTATCATTTGAAATGAAATTTGATCTGTTTTTATTGAATAAATTTTTTTATTTTCAATATAAATTGTATTTTTTAAACGCTTATTTTGAAAATTTTGTAAAATTACAACGACTTGACACTACTCAAATCTGTCGCATTCTAGAAGAAAATGTGACGCATTGAAAAGATAGCCAATGCATCAAATAATGAACTTTAATTTTACGAAACCTACTTCCATTCCTTCTACCATGCTTATAAATAATTTGTGCTATTTATTGAATAATTTTTAAGAAAATCAATCAGCTCTGTTAAAATTCACTTACGAACATAAAAATTTGGCAATGCTTATTATGAAACATTCATCAAATACATTAAATATGTGATAACATAACAATTTAAACGGTACAACAAAGACTAAATTTATACAACTGAATACACATACACAACACACAGCAACTGCATCGTAGACGAGCAGCCCGCATTGTTGTTACGCTATGTTAAATACTCGGAAACCTCATGGCTTTAAGTGTGTAATTATTAAGCTTATTGAAAATAATAAATCAGTGAGTGCTTCGTTGCACTCGCACCTGAAGAATTGAATGTTTAGATTCATATTTCATTATTTACAATTTAAAAAAATAAACGAATAAATTAGATCTGATTTGGACTGGAAGACATGACCGTAACATACAGCAAAGAAGTTGCAACTTCTAATTTTTCTTGTTTCCTCAAATTATTATCGAGGTTTTAAATGTTTTATTGTTAAAAATTAAAAAAAGACGTTTATTAATTTAAAATTCTTTCACTTAAGATGGCGGGGGAGTATATACAAGCTATTGTGGAAAGATTTCATCGTATTTGCCTTTCTCTATTTCCTTCTTAGTTTTGTGTACCGTTTCGCTATGAACGACTATCAAAGAAAGTGAGTTGTCGCGGTAAAATTATCTTCAGAGATCGGCGTAGCCAAAAATTGTTATTCTAAATATCTTACTAATCTGGTCAGAGTTTTTGAAATGATCTCTCTGTACTGTGAGAGTAACAACGCACGCATCCCAGTTGCATTCATCTTGGGGTTTTACGTGTCTCTGATAATGACGAGATGGTGGAACCAGCTGGCACTCATTCCCTGGCCTGATCACATGGCCATGTTTGTTACTGCCAACGTTCAAGGAGCTGACGAGAGAGGCAGGATGATGAGAAGGACGATGGTCAGGTTGGCCAACCAGTTTTTATTAGTTGCTGGCTAATTGCTCTTATTTGTTATTATTTTGATTTTTTAGAGTAGAATAAGAAGGAACAAATAAGCTTTTGTTAGAACTACACATACACAAATAAATTAAATAAATAAATATAATATATTATATTATAGTCAAATGGTTGAATGTCCAGGTACATATGTCTGGCCTTCACACTGACCATGTCCTGCATCAGCCCTGCGGTGAGAAAGAGGTTTCCAACAAACGATCACATGGTTCAAGCAGGTTAACGCAGATTTTTGTTTATAATCAGAAAAAAAATTTGGTGCTAAACATTTGTTTAATTAGTTATTTATATCACCGACCAGACAACGACAAATTCGAAAAATAATGTAAACAAACGGCTTTAATAATAATCAACGAAAAATTATTAATCTTTCGAATGTTGTTACTTCAATCAAATTTCTTGCAGGGATAATGACCGAGAACGAAAAAAATATTTTGGAAAAGATACCTGACAAATATGGAAACTTTTTCATACCTCTGTGTTGGATCACCACACTGGTGAACAGAGCAAGGAGGGAAAACAGAGTGAAAGATGACATGGCTCTCAAAACTTTAGTCGCCGTTAGATTTCTTGACAATAGTTTATTTTTTCAGACAAAAGATTCTTTTCTAAAATAGAACGAATGTTTTTTTTTCTAGGAAATAAATGAAGTCAGAAGATGTCTAGCCACACTGATGGTTTATGATTGGATATCCGTTCCTTTGGTCTATACACAAGTAAATGCTTACTAAACATCATGCAAGTTTAAATAAACTATCTTCAACGCTTACTGATTGTTCTCAATTTATTTCTTGCTAGTATTCCCTTATGTCGTTTTGTTTTCTTTTTTTAACATCTCTTAAATATTTTTAAGAGTAACGCAAGAAGTTGCAAAACTACAGGTAGTCACGTGGGCCGTGTACATGTTCTTCCTGGCGAGTCTGATGGGCAAACAATTCCTAGCAGGGAAACAAGACATGTACTTTCCACTGTTCACGTTTCTGGAATATTTTTTCTATATGGGATGGTTAAAGGTGACAATTTTTTAAACACAAATGTCTGACTTTTGAATAATTATGTTTATATCAGTTTCAAATGGTTCTAGGTCGCCGAATGTCTCGTCAATCCATTTGGAGAAGATGAAGACGATTTTGATGTTAATTTCCTCATAGATAGAAACTTATGTGTAAGTCAGGCTTCAATGTGTTAAAAAATTTTAAATTGACACACGCAGATTTTCCAAAATTTAAACAATTTTTTGCAAAAACAGGTAAAATATACAATCAATATGAAAAACATATATCACTTTTCATATGAATTATTTTTGTCATATTAAAATGCCAAAAAACTAATTGAAACAATATATATATATACACCTATCCCCCGATTTACACGGTAGATACGTTCCTGAGAAAAACGTGTAAATCGAAAATTAAAAATTTTCAAGTCAAAATCGTGCAAATCGAAAAGCTTTGCAGAAAATGCATAATTTTGCTTCTAACAGTTGTGATTTTTCTCAATATTTTTAGGTGTTCACAGAAATAAAAATAAAATGCATTGACAGGTTAAAATATGTAATATATTACGGAAACACAGTTTTTTTTATTTAATTACAATTCATCACTGTCAGAAATTACTCTCATTCTATTTTCCGGAATCGAAGGTTTGAATTCACTTTCATCACTCGAAATTATTTGTGCCTATTCGATGTTTGAAGCAGAAATATTTACATTATGAGAGATCGTAATAAAATCGGTTATTAACAATTGCTTCGAATTTTTCGAGATCTTTGTAAACTTTTTCGTATTGAGCAAAAGCAGCGATTTATGTCACGTTGGAATCGTAAAGCCCTTTCAACGTTTGGGTCATTTTGTATAAAGAGCGATAAAAACAAAAAAAAACTTATTTGGAAAACCGTGTAAAAGCGAAAACGTGTATATATTTATATATGTTGGTAATATATATATATCACTCGAATATATATATATATATATATATATATATATATATATATATATATACTCGACAGGTAGCGTACACAATTGTGGATGATGTGCACAAGGAGCAGCCTGAAATGATCAAGGATATTTACTGGGACGAACAGGAATTTGAAATGCCGTACACGGTGGCGTCCGAACCCTTCCGAGTTCAATACCCTCACAAAGGATCCGCTATTGATTTGGCGTTAGATATTACATAACAAAATTCTTCAAATTATTATAATTATAATTATTGTTGTATTTAAATTTTTAGAGTAACCAATGTTCAATTTTTATTTTACTTCTTCATTACCTAAACATAAAAGAATAAATATAACTTTTTTTCTGCCTCAAGTGTCTCGCAAAAAGATAAAGAAATTTTTAAAGTGACCAGCATGGAGCCGATATGGGAGGAGGACAAAGAAGAAGAGTCCGCTTTACTTCGGCAGAGCAGTGGAAAGAAGCGATTGTCCAAGCAAAGATCCGACATTTCTTATTCAGTTCATGAACCAGACATGAGTGAGAATAATTGTTTTCGTTTTCGGCTAAAATAGTTCCCCTTGTATTATACGACGCAAGATTTGTTATATTACGCAAAATTCTCATTTTAAACTTTTCATACTAAGTGATGCAATTTTTAAATTTAGTCGTTCAAATTTGGTTTCTAATAAAAGTAATAATTAATGATAGAAAATTAATTTCAGGCGTGCCAAAAAAAGAAACCGACGAACTGGCATCTGCCAGGAAAAATGAAACATCTACTGAAGTATTCACTTTTATAATCTAAACATAATATTTTTTATTAGCGCATTGTACACAGTTTAATTAGACGTGTTAACCATTTGCAGGATTTACAGTTTGACATTGACATTGAGGAAAATCAGAAAAATAGAGACAAGTCAATTCCAATGAGGCAAATGAAATCGCAAATGGGCAAGTTGAACCAAGCAGAATTTAGAAGAAGCAGAGGTTTTCAAGGGGCAGCCTCCCCAGCCAATCAACGTCTTGCCGATGTTATGATCAACATGAAGAACCAGAGTACTTCGACGTCGGACATCAACAAAGTCCCCAATTCTCCAGATGACATCGAGTCACCAGTTTGGGAGAACGCTCCTTCGCAATGGGTCTGACTGACGTTTCAATTTAATCAGATTGCTATCATTTGCCATTTTATTATAATTTAACCTTTGCATGTAACTTTCAATTATGCCATTTACGACACTAGTTAATCAGTTTATATGTGAATATGTAGGCGGAAATTTTTTCTAATATTGTTTCATTGATGAACCGACTTATTAGCATTGAAAACATACTGCTGATAAATGTTAACGCCGATAGAATGAATAAAACCAATCTTGAATTTAATCGTAAATTTCCCTTTATTTTAATATACTTTTAAAATTTCAACAGTTATTAAATCCTTTATTTGTGACTTTACATCATGAAAAAATATTTTATCCACACAAGACCAGTTGCAATCAAAAAATTGTACACATTCCTATTTCACAGTCCTCGTTCTGCGCGAACAGCATTAAATCTCAATCCATTCGCTAAACAGCCTTTTGGAGGTGTTTTCAGAAACTTTCCGATGATAACGAAGAAATTTAATAAACCAAAGAAGAACTTAAATATTATGAGACAACGTAAGAAACATTGGTGTAATGATAAGTTCAGCACATTATAAGAATGTTAACAATATTGTCCAGTTAAAACTGAACTGTTAAAAAACAAATAATTAATCGGAGCTCGTTGCACTGAAAAATCCATAATAGAAAAATAACATGTGACTGCTATACATAAATGGAATAAAAAGGCATAGTTTTTAAAGAATCTCTTGACGCAAATGTGTGTGCTAAGTAACGTGTAAATAAAAACTTTGCGCATAAAATCATTCTTTTATAACATACACTTTAGAAGCCTTCATACTCAAACTCAATAAAAAACATATTACAATATTAAAACCATATAGGACTTAAAATGAAACACTGTAATTTTGTAATAATACTGTAATAATACACGGGTGGTTTATATGAACAATGTATATATATATATATTATATATATATATATATTTATATATATATATATATATATATATATATTATATATATATATATATATATATATATGTATATATATATATTATGCGTCTGCCATATCCATATTATATATATCCATGGCCCATTAACATTAAGTATTTTTGGAGCTTTTAAAACTGTAGTTGTTCTTTGTTGTTACAGACCACAGACTATATATAAATCACCTTCTTTGCCAGCTTCACTTATTAACTTGCATTATCGCTAGTTTGTTTTGGATTCGGTTTTAAATTCGACTGAACGGAATAAAACAAGTGATAAAATAAAGATTAAAATGGCGACTATTGACGATTTGTACGGGTATTCAGCTCAGTTGGATGGCGCAAAGGACAAAATTAGTCAAGTTTGTGATTACTTATTTATTGATTAAAAATTAATTAATTTAATTAATTTTAAAATAATATTTAATTTTAAAGAATTATTTTATCATATGCTTTTTTAAATTAGTAAAAATTAGTTATCCTGCGTTGGTGCATGAAGTTAGCTAAAAATTTTAGCGCAAAGATTTCATTATGCATAAAATGATAAAACTTTTAATAACTTGCTAAATTATACTTTTAATGATAATCTAGCTAGCCTAGCCTAGCGCCTGTGAATTTTTCAGACTTGTCTAAAAATCTAAATTCTAAAGTTAACAAACGTTCCCTAATCGCTAACCCTAACCCTGACACTAACCAACCCACAATTTATTTACTAAATATCATCATAAGCTTAAAATTATTTTTTGTTTCTTAAAAACATTTAATTTACTTTACTTTTAGTAGATGTGTGAAGTTATCCAAGGATTTCAATGTGAACACTAAATAATAAAATTCAAATAACTCGCAAAGTAATAATCTAGGGCCTGTGAAATTTTCAGGGTTTATTAACAACATGTATGAGTACTTTTTGTGGAAATTGCGAGTTCATGTGTGAATGGTGCAAATTTTATTAATTTCTCAAGCAAATTTTTTTCATAAAAATTTTTAAAGATTTAGTGTGAGAAAGCAAAGAAGATGGTATTTACTGAATAAAAATTCAACTAATTATTATCTAGGACAGTGGTGCATGCACAGCATCCGGCCTGCAGGCTTTCTTTTTGTGACCTGCGGCATGTTTTTTTTCAAATAAAAAATTTAAACACAATTTCTTTTAATTTTTTTTAAACATCAGATCCATATAAATCTCAATTTAAAAATTGGAATGTTTTAGAATTTTTTAAAGGATTACAGAGATTTTTGAAATTTAAAGAAAAATGTATTTATGTGTGCCATTATGTTTGAAAGTACATACATATGTGGGCAGACATATTCATAAGTCGAAACAAAGAAACAAACTGCCTGATGAACATTAAGAAAACTGTCTGATAAACATTTAGAAGCTGTGTTGAAGATTTCAAGAAGCACAAATGAGTCAGGTGTAAAAAAATTAGTTAACAAATGCCAATCACAGTCATCTCATTAGAATGGTCGATAGTAACGATTAGTTGCGGCCCATGCAGGCTCTATGTTTTTGTCAATTTGGCTCTTCACTAAAAAAGGTTGTGCACCCCTAATCTACGGCCTGTCAGTTTTCAAGTTTATAACAATAACATTTTCATGAATATATGGTTGAAATTTGATTTAATTCTGTAGTGTCTTCTTCCAACCATCAACCTCTACAAAACCGTCAAACCAGGTGTTGGTAATAATTTGATCATCTGCGACACACCATTCAATCAACTTTTCTCCTTTTTCGTTTCTTTCACCTATCCCATGAGGAACAACCACATCTTGTATTTTTTCTGAGCCAACTTTTGCATTCAGGTCACCCATCATAATAACAGCTTCTTGAGATTTACATGTTTTTAAAGTATCATCAAGACCATTGTGCAAAGCATCAAGATCTTCTTCACTGCTTTCAGACATTGGCGCATAAACTTGAATAACAGCTAGGTTGAATAGTTTTGCATGTATTTTGACCAACAAAACTTTATCCGACACTGCCCAGGAACCTTCTAAATTTTTTGACATTTTTTTTGTTCAAAAGTACACCTACCTATTGTGTTTGCGTGAACCTCCTCCAGAGTAGATAAATTAAAGATAAATGTTTTTGATTAAAACAAGTGTAGCTTTCTTTAAATGCACTTTAAATTTGTTCTAGTCAAGGATATCAATATGAGCGTTAATTGACAGTCTGGGAAAAAATGTTAAATGCCTTTAAAAAAAATTTGAATTGATTTATTTTGGAGTGCAATGAATGATTGTAGAATGTTCTTTTCATCTTGTCGCAGCACACAGATGTGTACAAATCAATACTGAAGGGTTTTGAAGGGACATCAAATGAGAAGAGATTGTCATCTCAGCTGGCTGCCAAGTACTTCAAACATTTCACACAATTTGCTGAAGAAACTTTGGAATCCATGTTTGACTTGTGCGAAGACTCAGATGTTACAGTGAGTAAGATGTTTATGAATTTAAAAATTTTGAAATTTTCAATTTATTTTGAAAATGAATTTTGAAAACTGCATATTAATTCAATCCAAACACTTTTAAAAATTTGTATTCTTAGAACTTTGTCTGATATTCTTCATATATTTTAGTTATCTGATACACTCTTCAAGGTTCGCAAGCAAGCCATAAAAGACCTGACAGTTATATGCAAAGTAACTTCAAAGAACTGCCAGAAGGTGGCTGACATCTTGGTGCAACTCTTGCAAAGTTCTGATAACCTGGAGGTGAGTCTCGTTCAGATGTCTCTCATGTCTCTCCTGAGGTTGGACACGAAGGCCACCCTGGCCGGTGTGTTTGGACAGATCATGCTCGGTGATGAGGTGGTGCGCGAGAAGGCTATCTCGTTTCTGGTTACCAAGTGCAAGGTCATGGTCAGCGAAGAAATACTAAGCAAGGATGGAGCAGAGGAGTTTCTGATCACTCAGTCCAAGAAGGTTTGAAATTTGATTGCAGTTTCAAAGTGACATTTGGAAAAACTTTTTGAAACTAATATAGTTATGCATATAAAATATATACGACAATGATTCTGATGAATTTGTTTGATTTTAAATTGTGGTGGGTGACCTTGATTGATGATTGAACAGGTGATGGAGGATGTGACGGGTGAAGAATTTGTGAGTTTCATGAAGGTCCTCTCATCACTCCCAAGCTTGTCATCACTGCAAGGCAGGCAACAACTGCTCGACATCATAGCCGATCAGATTGATCTCAATGCCAAAGTTGATGTAATTCATCCTCTTCCATATTTTACATAACTACAATATTTTTTTTATTTAAATTATAAATATATTTATTTAATTGAAATTTGGCTACTTTTTTTTAAATGCCTTAAACCTCGTACATATTTTGTATTTTGTTTTATTGTTTGAAAACTCGTGAGTTAAATAATATTCAGACTTTCATTTCAATCGAAACATTCATTTATGAGTACAGACAGTCGTAAACCACCACACATTAACCTTGTTTATATATATATTATATATCATGCATATTCCAACTAGGTGACAGATCCAGACAACTTGAACTGCTTGATGCAGTGTGTCGAACAGGCTTCTCACCTCTTCTCTGTTAGTGTCCTTCAGTTCATCACTTTGCTTATTTTATTTCAATCCTCTTTTAAATCAACACTGGAACATGATGTTTTATTAAATTTATTTAGTTTTATTTAATAAATTTTGTTTTTTTTTTCGTTTGCAGAAGAACGTTCACTCAAATAGATTTGTGCAGCACATGTGTTTGAACGTGATGCCACAAGTTAATGACAAATCCATGCCAGCTGATATGCTGCTGAATGTCTTCAAGTTGCTGGCTGACATGTCTGTCTATTGCACATCACTGAACGATGCCGATGCTTGTGTCAAGTGTATCTACGATCATCTAATTGTTAGTTCGTTCAGACTTTGCTAGCAAATTTATAACCACCATTCATAATGTATCTGTTTATTTTAATTAGTAAAATACTAATTCTATTGGTCAATTATGATTCGTTCTTGTAAATGAATAGCAGGTAGATTTAATATTTTGTTATAAAATTTATTGTTATTTTTTTGAACTGCTTATTATTTAATAATGCTTTAATGAATTGAAAAGTTGAACAATATTGTTTGCCACTGAATGACAGACTTACATGCCTCAAGCCCCCAGCAACCAGACAGCTGGTGACACAAACAACTTCCCCAAGTTTGAGTTCTCGTACGTCGAGTGTCTCATGTTTGCATTCCACCAGCTGGCCAGACTGCATCGCAACTTCCTCACATCTGACCAACATGCTGATCGACTGAAGGACTTCAGAGCAAGGTCAGGATGGCATTTATTTCTTTGAGATTTCTTTGTTTGTTTTCTACGTAGCACGTGTTTTTGACTCTCGTGTACTCACATTTTTCCTTGTTAATAATCATTTTTGTTGCAAATTATATATTTTTACATTATTTTGTTGTCTGGAATTCAATTTTTTAATATTCATAAGTGGAGTTACCCCGTTTCGGTCACTCCTGTTAGGATCGGCTGACTATGGCTGACGACAAGATTAAAACAAGAAGTGATAGAGCTTTAAAATCTGCTCTCTTTGATGCTAAATGTTGCCTATGCAACAATAATTTTAATGCCAATTTACCAGAGAATTTTACACAAATGTCAAACGATTTTAAAAACCTAAAATGCATTTGTGATGGCTGTGCTAATCTGCTGGATGGATTTTGTTGTCTCAACCAACCTGTTATTGTTAAAAATGATATCAGTGAAGAAATCCGTTCTGACATCAAAATATTATCAGATGTCACAATTGCTCTCACGTATGATATCCATGCTCTGAATCGCACCGTCAGTTTTAACAGCCAACCTAATGAACTTGATTTATTCGTGGAATCAATTGATGGTTTCAGAACTGAAGTCAAAAAGTCATGGTCTGGTTTTGTCAAAGGGGTATCGGATCTGTTAGCAGTGATCTCAAATCTGTTAAGCGAACCTTTAATGTCGCTAATGAACGCATGGAAAAAAGAATGGGAACTTTGTCACTTTCTATCTTGCCCAGAACTGATGCAAAGGAAAGAAACATTTTTTTATCGGCCTGTAAATAGCTGACAGGGCGATCTTTTTAAGGCGAATGATTCTTAAAAAGTACCGAAGCTGGCCTCCACGTCCTTGTCATTGTTAAATTTGTCAATCCTGCTGTTGAAATAAAGGTGATGTCAACAATTCGTAATGTCAAATCACTTGACGGCGATCTTAGCAAGACCAGGCTTAGTCATGATTTAACTTAGGAGCAGCGCACTGAATTGCACGGTCTTACTGCTGATGCCAAGTGCAAGGAAGCTGGCGATCGGCATTTGTTGTACCGGGTCAGGGGAGCAGTTGGTCGATGGAAAAAAGTAAAACTCCCAAAGACTCCCTTAAAGTTGAGTTAAACTTTGGTTTACTCAACATCAGGTCAATTCTTTCTAGCCTAAATGTCATTTATGAACTGCTTTCTAGTGGTTCAGATATTTTTTTTGACTAAAACGTGGCATGGTGCTTATGAAGACCCTTCTTTTCAGTTGGCCATGCCTCCAGGTTTCATATTCAGGGCTAGAAAAATAGATTTCCCACTTTTTTCCACTTTTGAATTTATAGTAGTAGAATTGACTCATAAGCATAAAAATTATTTTGTTTGGTATTTATAGACCTGGTTCTAAACTTGTCTCGCCATTATTTTCTTGTGAAATTGTCGTCTCTCTTGGAACATATATGCACTCTCGTTGACTTTCTTTCTGGTTATCGCAGGTGACTTCAATGTTCACGTTGAGCGAGCTGATGATGTCAAGTTTATCCGAAATTTTTGAATCGTTTTATTTGATTGATGTTATGAATCAGCCTACTCATAATGCTGATGATCTGCCTGGTCATGACTATTTACACTGGCATTCAACATGTTTTTAATAGTAATAATCATTATGTGGTAAGAGCACTTGTGAGTTCTTTTTACATGTCAACCTGGCAGACTAGAGAACTATATTTTTTATTTATCGTTTAAATAAGCCAGCCTGCCTTCTAATTTTTAAAACCATAACCCAAAGAATTATTTTTGAAATGTTTTACTGAATTGTTTCATTTTTTGTACAGTTGGTAAACATGTTTGCTAATTGAGCTGATGAAACTTTACTATTTAATACTATATTGAATATTAAAACATAATGACATGCATTAATGTAATGTAGAATAATTTCAGCAATGTGATAATTAGTGTGATTAACTTGAATTGACGTAATATGTTTTGAATTGGACAGGTTGCAGTACTTCGCGAGAGGCGTGCAGGCCTACATCAAGTCGCTGAAGAGTGCTCAACCGACAGACAGCAATCATGATGTAGGCTCACCTCCGTTATCTTTATGTTTATATCATACATTTTTCACAACACACTTCTTTGATTGTATCTGGCTTACATTATTTAAATGGGTATATGTGGGTAAGCAGTCGATTGATTGATTGATCGATTGATTGATCGAGCGATTGATCGAGCGATTAATCAAGCGATTAATCGATTGATTGATTGATCGAGCGATTGATCAAGCGATTGATCAAGCGATTAATTGATAAATTTTATTTCTTGCATGAAAATATTATTTGTTCTAGGTGAAGAAGTTAGCTCTGAAGACGACGATGAACATCAACACACTGATCAAGGACCTCTTCCACAATCCTCCATCCTACAAAGCCTCCATCACTTTATCGTACAAGGAGGATGCTGCCGCTGACCAATCAGACAGCAACAGACAGGGGTATGCATCTGTTCTTCGGCTTTCATTTTATGTCATTTGTGATTAATTTTTATGCCAACTTCGTGGCGATTTTCTGAACTGTGATGTTTTCTTGGTTACGATCATGCTTCCATTGAATACTCAGGTTGAAGAGGCAAGCAGCGCCGGCAGTGACCACATCATCTTCATCCACTTCATTCTCTGGGGTGCAGTCGAAGAGGGTTCGAACAGAACAGGCCAGATACGCCCCACCCGGTGGCAAGTTCAGCAGAAATCCAGGTTGCAATTTCTTGACCGAATGTATTAAACTTCGTTTGTCTGTAATTTTTATAAATGCATAAAAGATCAAGTATAATTTTTGAGTTTTTGAATATTCGAGTTTATGAGTTTTTGAATTTCATTTCACAGACCTCAACAGAAATGTTGCTTCTTCGCGAAAAGCATGGTGATGCATGGAAGAGATCGTAAATAAATAAATTGAATGGGACAGAAATTATTTTACAGATGTATGGATTGATTGTTTGATTGGTTGGTTGGTTGTTTGGTTGGTTGATGGACTTATTGGATCGGATTGTTGATTGATGATGTCTGTCTGGCCTGCATGCAAGCACGAGGTCGGATAAATGACATTAGCAAATATTTACTGAATTTATTAACACCAACTGGTTGAATTCAGAAACAAATTTATTATAATGTAGTTGGTGTCATTTTTTTATTTGTTCATATTTGTTCAACTCATAACTTTTAGATGGCTAACAAGCAATGATACATTTTGCATTTGTTTTTACGCGTTTTTCATTCCAATGCCACCTTTCTCCACCAATCTGCTGGCTACTGTCTCCAAATCACTCCCTCTCGTGATCTTCCTCTGAGGACTCTGCCATTATTTCTTGGAAACAGGACAGTCTGTAATAGAAGATAAGTATCTGGATAGGTGCTCAAAGTGGAATATTTTAGATTTATTAGAATAAAAATGACGTACAGTTATTAGACATAGTTTGGTCTCGAAAGTAAAAAAATGAAGCAGGTGCCGATAATGTTTCAAAAACAAATTAATGTTTTAATAATACGATTTCAATTATGATGTATTTCTTAAAAACCCTAAAACTTAGTTGCCTGACTATAGGTATAGATGATTAATAGTTTTCTATAACTATGCTTATGCTTCAGACCTAGTTTTGTTGGAATATCATGATGTTAATAGCATAATGTTATAAGGTAAAACTGTCTCAATAAAGCTGTTGCTTTCGAGAATTGAAATGATGGACATATTTAAAAGAAACAATCTAAATGGAAAAAATTTGTTATGGGTAAAATCTACAGCGTAGTTTATCCGCCTAAATTGAAAGTTTTTATTGGTATAAACTTTTTATAATGTCAACACTTTAAGGGCATAAACGCATTGAGAAGACATGAAACATTTTGTTGAGATAGTTTCCTTGGTAGATGTTCAACAATTTTGATGGTAGTCATATTGATCGCATGACTGGCCAAGTTATTTCCATTTTAGAATAAAAAATTGAAAAAATACCTTGACAAGTATATTTCATCAGAACAATGAATCCATTAGAACATCCAATTTAGAATAAAAATTTGAAAAAATACCTTGACAACTATATTTCATCAGAACAATGCTTTCTTCGCATTTAAAACAATGGGAAGCTAGTGGCATTGTACGTCTATACAATATAACATAAACTATTGTTCGTAAAAAAAATGCTCCAATTAAAAAGTTTTCAAAAGTTATTCATAAAAAATTATGTTTGCAACGAAGACGATTAATTAATTTGTTTTTATTAAAATGTTGAATTATTTCTGCGCAATATTAATGAAACAAATTTTGAGTTAGTTTAACTCAACTCCCTTGTCATTTTATTCAAGAGAAATTTTATAACCAACCTTTTTGCAGCTCCCATTAATGCACTTCATCACAGTTTAATGATGCGAAACTTCGTTCTGTCCTTTACCGAAAAAACGTTCATACAAAACAACTACAAAATTACATTCAATCAGTTTATAAAGCGCTTACGCTTATGTAAAAAATGATTCTAGAAAAAAGGTCAACCAACAGTTGGCTGTTTAATTTCTGCAACCATTTATATTTTCTGAAGTATCTTTCAAATTTATCTAAATAAAATCTAACATAATCTTTCTAGAATATATTATCTATAGAGTTTTTTGTTGTATAGAAGTTCAGTCAGTCAGTCAGTCAGTCAGTCAGTCAGTCAGTCAGTCAGTCAGTCAGTCAGTCAGTCAGTCAGTCAGTCAGTCAGTCAGTCAGTCAGTCAGTCAGTCAGTCAGTCAGTCAGTCAGTCAGTCAGTCAGTCAGTCAGTCAGTCAGTCAGTCAGTCAGTCAGTCAGTCAGTCAGTCAGTCAGTCAGTCAGTCAGTCAGTCAGTCAGTCAGTCAGTCAGTCAGCAGTCAGTCAGTCAGTCAGTCAGTCAGCAGTCAGTCAGTCAGTCAGTCAGCAGTCAGTCAGTCAGTCAACCAACCCACCAACCAATTAATCAATTAGTTTGTAAAGCGCTATTTTAGCTATGTTCAACAGCGCTTCGCAATGGATTTTGCAAACGATGGGTCGAAGTGAGAACTAGAAGAAAATCATAAACCGGGGCGTTTAGGTTCAATTAACACATCTGATAAGTAATTAGGAAATAACTTAGACTGAGACTTGTACTTTAATGTGCAGATCTTCAAAATTATTTTGTATTTTAAAGGCAACCAGTGCAAGAGAACAAGATATGGAGATGTATATGAGAAAAGAGAAGGACACGAGCAACCAGGCGAGCAGCTCGCTTTAAGAAATTCCGACTGTATTTATTAAAAATAGTTGATTAATTACATTTCAAGATCATTTTAAATTAATTTTTTGCAATACGTTCATTTTAATTTTTTACAAACACCCTACTTTTTTGACAAAAATCGACTAAGATGATATTTTTCGTGACTGAAAAAGTAGTTAGAATAGCTATAAAGTTTTTTTAGTTCATTTTATTTTTCTTATGAATTTTCTAACCGGGCAATGTGTAATTTAAATATCAAATTATTTTTAATTAAAATTAGTAGTTATCTACACACATTTTTAAAAGACAGCTTAAATAATTATTTTTTTTTAAATTTAGAATCAATAATTTGCACGCTCCTTTGTGTGCTATAACTTGTTTTCGTGCTTTCCAAATATATACAACTGAGTTATGCTCACGTGTGCTAGTTCACCTAAACGTTGGAAAGTTGGTGCTCTCAATGATTATAAATTTTGTCATTTTTTTACAGTAAATAACAACTAAACTAAGTTGTTATGAAAAGGCAAATATATCACAAATGTCTACCCATATTATGATTTCGTATGATTAATAAATTACGTTATTTGTTTGTTTGTTTGTTTGTTTGTTTGTGCAGTTTAACGGCGTTTCAGCACAACTGGCTATCTTTACGCCCTTTGTTCCTTTTCTATAAATGCGTTTTGTTGTTTTAAAACTTTTGAGAAATTATTTTTAAATTCTATTAAAAATTTGTATTTCCTGAAGGAATGATATTAGATTATTGATTTTATCTCTGGAAAAATTTTTTTCTACTTCTGAAGGGATGTCATGTCGTTTCCTACTATTATTGTGACTATTACATTTGACCAAAATGTGATGGATAGTTAGTTTTTCGTTACAAGAGTTGCATGTAGGCGAATTTGTTTTGTTGAGAATCCAGGAATGAGTCAAACTTGAATGGCCTATTTTTAATCTGTTGATAATTTACGTTTTAAACCTTTAAATTCATTTTTTTGGCTGAGAAATGGTGTGGATAATTTAAGAAAGTTTGATGTTTGGTTCCATTCAAGTTGCCATTTCTCCACTGAAACCTTTTTTGTCCAAAATCTTAAATCATTGTGTGGGATGGGAAGATTTGATATTGGAATATTGTGAGCTTGTGATGCCAGTTGATCGACTTCCTCATTACCCTGAATTCTTATGTGACTGGGTATCCATATCAGAGTTATTTTCTTACCATTGTTATCATTTAAGTTATCATGTATCCTGTTTTGCGTTTGAATAATAAGGTTGTGTTGAGGTCTATATTGTTTAAGCACCGTAACTGTTGATAATGAATCTGAAAATATCATGAAATTTTTACTATTGGATTTAGATATGAAGTTTATTGGCATCTGAATGGCATTGATTTCTGCTGTGAAGATTGAAGCATGGTTTGGAAGATGTTGCATGATTTTGTTTATGCATTTTTGTTGTCTGTAGACTACTACTGCTGCTGTAGTTGATATTCATTTTTTTGAGCCATCAGTATATATTTCAATTGAATTGGGATTCTCTTGAATTTTTTCTTTGAATAACATTTTTGCTAAGTTTTTGTCTTTTTCTATTTTTACTATACTGGTATCAATATCTGCATGTAGCAACAGCCAGGGAGGAATCTTATAATCCATCTCTTTAACAATTTTTGTTTTTTTCATGTTCTTTGATGTATTCATTTATTCTTGTTTGAAAAGTTTGAATAGATTTGGATTTAATGTGACATATTTTATCGATATATTTATAATTTGGATTTTCTGGTTGCGATCTCAGTTTTAGATAGTAATTCGATGCTAATTTTTGATGTCTATAAGATATGGGCATTTCCCCTGAGAGAACATGTAGACTGCTAGATGGAGATGTTTTGTATGCTCCCAAAACTCTTCTTAATGACTCGTTGATTATTGGTTGAAGAATTTTGAGATATGATTTCCTTGTTGATCCATAAACTGGGCTAGCGTAGTCTATTATTGATCTTATCGTTGTCTGGTAAATTGTCATCAAAAGCATTTGATCTGCTCCCCAAGTATGATGAGATAAAACTTTGATCAGGTTGAGTGCTTTTAGACATTTTTTTTGTCGCTTGAATATGAGGAATGAAATTAAGTTTATCATCGATTATGATTCCCAAATATTTATATTGCTGGGTGAAATCTATGAAATTTTCTTGAAATTTTAATTTGGGGTAGATCTTGTTTCGTTATTTTGAAAAAAGTATGGCTTTTATTTTGGTTTCTGAAAATTTAATTCCATTTTCTATTGCCCATTTTTCTAAGGTTTTCAAAAATGTGTTTATTTCCCCTTGCATTTTGCTAATATCTTTATTTCTAAATGTTATTGTTAAATCATTCATATACAGTGAAGTTATTGCTCTTTTTGGAATTATATTTGTTATGTTATCTAAAAGTAAACAAAAAAGTTTTGGTGACAAAATGCTTCCTTGTGGAATACCTAGATCTGGATACTTTTTTTCAGAAAATGTGTTGTTAAATTTTACCTGAAAGGATCGATCCGTCAAGAAATTTTGAATAAACCTAGGGAGGAGTCCTCGTAAACCAATTTGATGTATCTTTTTCATAATTCCATAGTTCCAAGCTCTATCATAGGCTTTCTCTATGTCTAAAAATATTGTTATGACTTGTTCGTTATTGTTTAATGCTTGTCTTACCAATGTTTCAAGCAGTAGTAGGTTATCTAATGTGGATCTTCCTTTGGTTCCTCCACACTGTGAATTTGATATTATTTTATTAATTTTGAGATACCAATCTTGTCTTGTATTAATTATTTTTTCCATTATTTTGCAGGTGCAACAAGTTAATGATATCGGTCTGTAATTTTCAGGTTGAAGTTAGGATTTGTTTGGTTTATTTATTGGAATTATTATTGCGTGACGCCATATATTTGGAAAACTTGTATTATGCCAAATATAGTTATAAATTCTTAGAAGTATCATCAGCGCATTTTGTGGTAAGTTTTTGAGCATCTTGTAAGTTATTAGATCTGGTCCCGGAGAGGAATCTTTGCTATTGTTGATTTCATACATAATTTCTTTCATAGTTATTGAGGTATCATATGGTTCTAAATTATTTGAATTAAAATCTAAAGTTTTACTTTCTTCTACTGACTTGATCGTTGCAAAATTACTGTTTAGATTTTTTGAATTTCGTTGAAAATTGATAGCCAAGATGTTTGATATTTCTTGGTCAGTTGTATACTCTTTACCATTGAGTGAAATGTGGCTGTTTTTATTAGTATTATTTTTATTTTTTAATTTTCTGATCATTTCCCAAACTTTATTTATAGATGTGATGGAATTGAGATTATTTATAAATGAGTTCCAAGATTTTAAATGCATTTTGCTTCTGTTTGATTGCATCTTTGCACTTCTCATTGTACCAAGTATTTAAAACTTTACCTTTTTTATTTTGAATAACTGGGGTAGTTTGTTTTATGACTTCTGATATGATTTCTATCCATCTGTTCATTGACTCATCATCAATTGTGTCAAAAGTTTTCATTTGTTCCTCTATCATGAATGTAAAACTACTCCAATCTGTTTTGTTGTAGTTAAGTCTTTTCAAATCTGAATTTGTGGGTTTATTTCTGATGGATATAATTATTGGGTAGTGATCACTGCCATGTAAGTCATGTTCTGCATCCCATTCAATATCTTCAAAGATAATTGGAGTTGTCATGACTAGATCAATTGTGGATGAAGCGTTTGTGTTTTCATGGTATCTTGTTGGTTGTGTTGGCTTAATCAGGCAAAGATCATTTTTTATTATTGTTTTTTCCAATTGCTTACCCTGAGAATTTGACTTTAGGCAGTTCCAAATTTTGTTGTGAGCATTAAAATCTCCAAGGAATATGAATGGTTTAGGAAACTGTTTTATTATTTGTTTTAAGTTTTGTGCTTTAATCAAAGAATTTGGCTGTATGTAACCATTGCATATTGTTATTGATTTGTTGTAGATTGTTATTCTTGCTGCTATGAAATGATTATCGATTTTTATATTAACGGGAGACTGTGTTATATTGTAATGAATATAAATTGATGTTCCAGCTGATGGATTTGTTTTTGTGGAGATAGCTGCTTTATGATAACCCATGTAGTTTTTCAATTTTATTTGTTTATCTTCAGTGTTTTTTGTTTCCTGGAGACAAATGATATGTGGATTGTGTTTAGAAATTAGGATTTGTAGTTCTGGTAAATTGTTTTTCATTCCTCTGATGTTCCGTTGAAGGATTTTGATTGTGTGGGAATTTTTATCTATTATTATGTCTTAAATAGGATTATTTGTTTTGGAGTTATTAATGAATCTTTTAGTGTCTGGTATTTCTTTTGTTTGTTTATTATAAGCCATGTAAGTTTATTTTTGGGAACGTTTTTCATTTTTACATTAATGTCATTTTTGTTAGAATCTTCCTCCGTATTTTCGCTAAGGCATTCATCACTTTTCGTGTTTTCATCGCTGGAAAACATATACGGATCTTTGTTTTCTTTACTTGTTTTATTATAGTTTTTATGGGATTTTATTTGTTGATCTAATTCTAATTTTTATGTTGTTTCTTGAGATATATCATCATCAGAAGTTTTTTTTTGTAGTTTTTGGTGGAATTTGATAAACAATTTATAAGATTGCATTGAATTTCTTTATCAATCATTGTTACTTTTTTTTATTATTTGAGATAACAAGGGTTTCTGTTGTTGACATATCTGACTTTTTGCTTGGTTATAAGATACATTATTTTCTGTTTTTCTTTTGAGTATTTCTTTTTCCAATTTAAATTTTGAACACTCTTTAGAGAAAGTTTCATGTTTATGTCCACAGTGATAACAATTTGGCTCATTTTGGCATGGTGCTTCCCATGTATGTTTGTGCCCTGTATTTCCACATCTTGAACAAATCAGATCTTTACTTCTGCAAATTTTATGGTGATGACCATACTTCTGACATTTAGTGCATCTTGTGGGTAATGGAATAAATTTGTCAATTTTTATTGAGTGGTAACATACTTTTATTTCTGAAGGAAGTTGAGAAGGTTTGAATGTTAGGATGAAGGTGTTAGTATTTATTTTTTGATTATTTTTAGTTATTTTTATATTAAAAATATCTATTACACCCTGCTTTTGTAATTCCTCTTTCATTTCTTCCTTTGAACAGTATCTGAAAATTGTAGTCCTAATAACTCCTTTACTTGTATTCAAAACTTTATGAGGATAGCACTTTACTTTTTCATTTATAATTGTATTAATTTTTAGTATTTTGTCTCGTTGCCTTTCATCTTTTATTTTACTTAAGATTCTGTTCTGTTGAATTTTAATGAAATTCAGTTCGCCTATATTGTTTTGGAAATATTTACTAATTTTGAAAATTGACATTTTTCTGAAGTCATGGCTGTTATCAGGGGATAGTGGTTCAATGACGAAAACCATTGGTCCGTCTAACTGAAGTAGTACCATGGTTGACGGTGAAAGAGCCCTCGTCTTCTCCTTCTTCTTGTGTGGCGCCAGCTTGACTGGCCCACCGGCACCTTCCGTTGAGTTGTAACGAAGCAAAATTCAACAATTTATATTAACTTAAACTTTTAAATGATTATAGAAAAAATACAAAAAAACTAGAAAATTAAAGTTCTTCCACCAAAAGAGAAAATTATTCTAATTCGGCACAAATAAACATGTTCGCCATATATCCAAATTACGTTATGTCAAACTTTATATCAGGAGTAAATATTTGAGTCTTTTGGATTGTAGAAATTTTGCTTTAATTTTCTGTAAACCTCAGATTGACAAGAAGTTGAAAATGTTCTTTAATGAAATTGTTTATAACAAAAAAGAATAGCACTTTAATACTTGGATGTGTTTATAGACAATAAATAATATTATTTCAAAATTTTTTAGTTTCATTAGGCAATTTGATGTTTATGTTTGAGAATTGAATATGATAACAAATTAGTTTTTATTAGAAAGTTTTATAGTATATATATATGGCTGAATAAGAAATAATTCTTCAAATATTTCCATTAAATTAAGACGGCAAAAAATTTGAAAAAAAATAATGAAAAATTGAGAGGAGCAAACACAAAACGTCTTAACTCGGCATTGTTCAAAGGCTGCGTGCCCATCTGGTGCAATGTTTTGTCTTGGGATTTTTAAAGTTGCGAGGAAAAACTTTTAAGAAAAGAGAAAAACTAACGCATGCAATGCGTACAAACACAAAATGTGACCTATGTCATTTTGCTGCTTGCATGCTTCCATATGAATCGTTGAAAAATAATTTTGAAAATAATTCACATTCAGGAAAATAAACATTATAAAATACGGTAGCTGAAAACAAAAAAATAACTATTTATCAGCCGATGTGTTATATTGGTTGGCAACATTCAGATCATAAGATAAGTTCTGTTGATAGAATTATATAGAACATGATGAGCAGAATATTTAGAAGCATTCCAAGTTCTTCGTTTGATTACGTCTCTCTAGTTATTTTTGTAGTTGCTTTGGTTGGTTATCACGGTTGGATATGCCAGGCCAGATGTTTCGTGAGACGTTTGAACTGCAAACAAAAAGATGAATGCTGTTGCGATGAGCCATCGATGCAAACTACATTCAACGACATACCATCCAGCAGAGCGTTTGTTTCATGTTCCTGGATTTGCTCCAACAACAGCCTGTGTCTGGCCTTCAATTTCAATCAGAATTTCAATACTTGTCAGTTGTTCTTTATTGATCGATTGAAATGTTTTCAAGAAATGGTTGGATGTCTCCACATGCATCGACCAGGTTAGACCGCTATCGTTTCTAGAATGCTTATTTTTCAAATATGCCACACGTAAGACCCAAATTATTATTTCGTTGATGGGTCTTCATATTCGATAAAAATGGCCGTTAATGATTTCCAGATTGATTAACAAACGAATAAAATGTTAGGTGTGTTCTATCGCAACCTGACTATAAACGCCGACGATCAAATCGTATCGCTTTATTTTGACGGGGTTCCTCAAAAGAGCCTGTCCTTCTGGAAGAACTACGCTGTATTTGATACTCATTTGATGGCTTTCGGTACCAAAGTTATTGCAGTTCGTGCTGCGAACCTGAATACTGGAAGTGAGCTATCTTGCTTTTGTATTTTTAGTTAACTAAAATCTGATAGCAAAAAATATTTTATATATATTTTATATGAAACAAAAACCTTTTGTATGCTATTAGTTTAGGTTTGCTTTTTAAAATGACTATTTTTTTTTAGAAAGTTTTAAAATTTAGTTAAAACGTAACTTGCAAATAATTGCCCCGCCAACATATGCTAAAGTGATGTAAATTTTACTTTTAAATGTTTTTATGGTTGTAGTCATTTCATGCTATCGTGATTTCATATCTCCATATTATCATGTTTTTGTGCCAATATGTTATATGTAATTCATATCGTTATCATGTTGATACGCTATCATGATATCTATAGCATTAAATAATCATTCTATTTGTTTCATCACGTTATCGTATTTGAACCAGGTCATCACGCCGCCCGTTTTATTGAAGCACTGACCAGCCATGCAATTGACCACACATCACTAGTTTTGTTTTATTGTATTTCTATTAATACCTGAAAATCTTGAAACAACAATTAAATAAATATTTATTTTTATATGCAGAGAGCATAGTAGCCTACAGTGATGATGGTTACATTCTAACCAACACAACGTGGAGATGTTCCTCTGCGATTCCAAAACTGGATTCCAAGAACAACAGCTGGTACGATGCCAACTACAATGATCAACGCTGGCCGCTTGCAATTAACCAAGATCCGAAATTTAATTTAAACGGAGCTCTAAAAATCTGGTCGGATAACTTTACCGATGCTTTCTGCAGGAAGAATATATGCGGCTAGCTTGTATTGGAAAAGATTTTGAGTGATGACAGGATGTTTTATAGTCTGGAAAAGTTATTCTCTAGCAATTTATAGCATGTTGCTAATAACTTTGTGTTTTTGTTCTGTGCATTATTTTGTTTTAAGAATGTGTAAAAAAAACTGTGATAAGAACACATTCGAAACGTTTACCAACATGAGAAACAATGCTTTTGTTTCAAAGTAATATTTTTTAACTAAAAAAGTTAAGAACGATATTTTTCAAAAAAATTAAAAAAATTTGTTTTAAGAGATTATTTTCGACAAAACAATGTCTCAGTTTTAAAATGGTATGTCATGTGTTGAAGAGAGCGAAGCCTGCCAGCCAATCAATCACACAGACATCTGATGAAAAATATTCACAGCATAGGTATGCCTCCTATGTGCGTGTTTTTAGTTGCCCGTCAATATTTCAATTCAACTATCAAACTCTGTTCATTCAGACAAATTCATAAAATATTCCAATAAAACCTCATTTAAAATTTAACTAATAAGCTGATCTGTCATACGTCAGATTAAAAAACAGTTTGTAACTTTTTTTCAAGTGCGTTTTTAAACAACATCCGCAAAATTAAATTTTTAATTTTCAAAAATATTCAGAATAAAAAATTTTGTTTTTTTTTTTCGTTTGTTTGCATATATGTATGTGTGTGTGTATGTATGTCTATTTAATGATCATGGCTGAGTCTCTCTGGGATCCACGTTGGTAGAGCCAAGCAAGCAGCTTCTCTAATTACTTTAGCAGATTTGAATAAAGAAAGTTAATCAAATGTATACTGTCAGGGTTCAGTGTAGCGCTATACGATTTAAATGGATAACCAGTAAACAAGTAATTAATATCTCGTGGCCGTGGTGATTTCAAGGTAAAAAACGTTTAAAAAAAGGTTGGTTAAAAAATATTGAACTGCTCTTCAAGGACAAATAATTATTAATAACTCAGTTTGCGTGAGTTATTAATAACTTGTCGCAATTTCTGAACATGGGAGTGATAGCGGCCAAACGGCTATAAAAGCACTGGGAAGGTCCCGTCAACAGGCTCAGAAATTCAGTTCAGGAGTTGTTGTCGTCGCGAGAGTTATCGTGGAGTCTCGGAAGTTGAAGTGGTAGATTCGTGAACTGGTGATTTGTGAAATATAGAGATTTATATATTTAATTATTTAAAGATATTGACTAATAACGTTGTTTAATTAATTAATTGGAGATATTGACTCATAACGTTATATATTTAATTATTTAAAGATATTTACTTATAACGTTGTTTAATTAATTAATTGGAGGTATTGACTCTTAATGTCAGTTTGTAAGTATTGTTACTTGTCTGACATTATAAACAGTTCTTTTACTTTGTAATAGAGAAATTGTTGCAACGTACTTGTTTTTGTTGTGAGGTTGAAATAGTAATAGAAATTAAAGAACGAACCCTTACAGTATACACTTCCATACACACATACATACATACATTTATATGTAAATGTGTGTGCAGTGCATATGTGTTATACAAAACGTATGTGTGAAGTGTATCTATCTTTGATACTTAACACAAGTGTTATTTGTGTTATTATCACCACATATACACATACAATACACTATCATGCATATATATATATATATATATATATATATATATATATATATATACACATATATATTGGTACGACCAATATATGACAACATCTTCATAAATATTAAATAATTAGAAAGCTTGTTTGAGTTCCTCATCGTAGTTTATTTTGTGCTCGTTGTTCTGGCCAATGTTATTTTAGTTATTAAATCAGAAATTTATTAAATTTTTTTTAAAAAATTGTCTCTAGTATTTTTATCATCTAATGTTAAACATGAGATTAAGACGGCCGATTTAGAAAGCCTTTTCGCAAGTGCGGTGCGGATGCAGTGCGCAGGGCCACCGAAAGGGTATGTCAGCCAAGTCTGAAACTTTGGGCCCAAAATTTTCCTATCCAATTTTTAAAAAAAAAAAATAAAATGTGTTTTCAAAGTTTCGTAAAAATTACATAGTCACGAAATTTCACTTCAGCAAGAAATTAATTAGTTTTTTCGAATTTTCATAATCATTCTCTATACTCACCATGTTATTTTTTAATGCATTTAAATTTTCCATACAAAATGATATACATTATAACAGACGATAAAAATAGCATTCAATCATTGTAGGGTGTAAAGTAAACCCAGGTTAAAATTGCGATTTAACTTTAGATATGCTAAATGAAAACAAATTGCAAAATAGATTATTTTTGAACATATTAAATAAATTAATAAAAATAACTGACAAAAAATGACATGCAATTGCATATTAAGTGTAAGTCCATCTCCGTGATAGTGGTTTTTTCCGGTGTTGTCATAGTGATGTCAATCGTTTATTTAATTTGTGTGTTTTCAATGTAGCGTTCTTTTAACTGTTGTTTCAAAAAACTAGAGTGAAACCAGAGAAATGAACTATCAGCATAAATCAGGTGCTTCAAAAAGAAAGGAAAATGAAAAACGAAAGACATTTGGCAAAGAAAAACCAGAAAACATGTGACAGTTTTTTTTATGATTAATCGATCAAATTCGAATTTTCACAAAATATAATATAGGTATCTAATATACTATATAATAGTTATATGTATGATATAGTTATATATATATATATATATATATATATATATATATATATATATATATATATATGAAAGGCTCGGTATGCATTTAAACTTGGGGTCCAGTTGGCGGCCCTGGCAGTGCGGTGCGGATGCATTACTATCATTTCTATCATTTCACTAAGCACTCGACACAACAGATATTATTAATTTGGTAATATCAACATCCTGCTTCCTTGTTAATTTGTTAGGTCTTTGTTATGAAGGAAGTTATTAACTTAAATTATCAAATTAGCAAAGAAGCAGGATGTTGATATTACCAAATATTTTTCAATTATTCTTTGCCTCTCCAAAATTTTGATTCAAACAAGTTTCTGAAAAAGCATCATTTAAATATTTGGAAATTTTGGATAAATTAGGTTTCATTCGCTGTTCAAGAAAACTATACTATATTTTCAAATTTTTGTACATAGTTTACTGTTTCAAATTGTTGTTGGAATGTGGAATATTTTTTTATATGGAATCTTTATTTGAACTCATTCAACAGCTCTATTATTTCATTTTACTTAAACATTGAATTTTCAAAAAACTTTAACTTTTGTAGCTATATACATATGAATTGCTTAAAAACTGATTACTCCAGCTTTCTATTTATCACATGTTAACGTTAATTTTTATCAGAATTACGTATATGGAAAGAAGCACTAAAAGCTAGCAGTAGAATGAAGGTCTGTACATTGGAACAACAAAGATGTTCAAAATTAATAATTTATTTAAAATCAAGCAGTCAAAATTTCACAAAAATTACAAAAAATGAAATATTGATTAAATTTGATTTTGTGAAATGGGAAACAAGTGAATTTTGTTTATACCACCATGAAAAAAACAACTGGATGAAAAACTTTCACTTTTTACAGAGCTGCGTGTTTCAGAGAAACTGTTTAATTGTGGGTGATTAGTTGTGATGAAAAATATTCAATTCAACCAACAAATGCGTAAATATTTACTTTTTGTCTGTGATTGTGATGTTAAAAAATGAGCCTGTAAAAATAGAAAAAAATTAATTTGACGTCATTGATGTAAACGAGTTTGAGAGAAGTTTATGCAATTTGGAAAATTGAATTTAAAATACAAAACAACAGACAAAAAAACATAACATTGCTACTAATAGCAGTAATTTATTTTCAAAATGTTTGACCAAATTTAGAAGTTTGTGTGGTAAAATTTAGTAATTTTGAATGCATAACCCGGCCCTGTTGGCTCAGGTTTACCAAACGTTTGATACACTTCACACATACGTTTTGTATATGTCAATTAAAGAAAAAAAATAACCTAAATTTGACTACTTTTTGAAAGTTTAAACCTTCCTTCTCAACAGTTATGGTTTTGCAAATAAATATAAATATCCAATTTATCAAAGCCTTATCAGGCTCAGATCTTAAACTGCAAACTCGGAGACATATTTGAAAGTAGTTCGTCTAAACTATATTACATAAAAATTTGATAATAATAAATAATAAGAAAAAAAAATAAGAATAATAATAGACATTCCATATAGACTCACTACGGAAGTAATAAACTTAATCCTTCCTGTGTCCTAGTGCATTCTTACATTAGACGTCCTGGAATTATTGACGCGGATTTGCAAAGTGAATGTAGACAAAGACAGTTCCCATAAAAGCTAGTAGACTCTACACAAAACCTTCCATCAAAATTTCCATGCTTTCGATTCCCGTAAAAAAATGATTGACCAGCGACACGCAGGGCTTATTGTTTACGTGAACTGGCAATTCTTTTCTGTTTTCAAATTCTAATTAACCATGTAAACTCTATTAATTATAAATTTTTACCGCCAGCAGATGAATTTATTTTTTGATCTGTAAAATTTTGGTGAAGCGTTTTGATTTTCAAACATAATATAAGAATTTTATAAAAAAAAGATTATTTATTAAATGTAAATTTTACAAAATTATTTTAATATAAAATTGTTTGAATATGAATTGTTATTCATGTTGAAAAATATTCATACTGTTTTTGGCGCCAGCACGCAATGAAAAAATTCTTTGAATACAAATATAATCGAACGTTAATTTTCACCAAAAACATTTTTTTTGCTTCCGACTCCCATTAAAAACATAATCGAGCAAGACACGCAAGTTCTGCTTCTTTCTGTTTTTGTTAGTTTAATTTAGGCTACATTGTTTATGTTATTATTATTTATTATTATTACTACTAATAATATTAATAATAATGCTTTTCAATGAAACGATTTAATGAAACTGCAAAATTTTAATACCTGCTGAAATCGCGATAATGTTCCATTACGAAATTTTTGTGATTTTATTCATTTGTTCAAATTTACATCTCAATTTAGTCTGCAACGCTGGATGTTTTGTGAGACGTTTGAACTGCAAGCAGAAAGATGAGTGCTGTTGCGACGAGCCATCGATGCAAACTACATTCAACGACGTGCCATCCAGCAGAGCGTTTATTTCATGTTCCTGGACCTGCTCCAACAACAGTCACTGTCTGGCATTCAATTTCAATCAGAATTTCACAACTTGCTCCCTTTTTTCCGACGCGCCACTCAGCTGTTTTCGCAAGATTGATGGCTGCCACCACATGTACAACAGCGGTTTGCAACTACACTCTTTTCATTTTTTGTTGAACTGAAAAAATACAAATATTATGTTTTGCCAAAATTAAATTCAGACGTGTACTCTCTCAACTTCACCGTAACTGCAGACAACAAAGTTATATCTCTGTATTTCGACGGAGTTGCACAGAAACTAAAGCCAAACTGGGACAACTATAAATTGTATGATTCTTACTTCACTCATTTCAACGTCAATGTAATTGCCATTCAAGCCAAAAACGGAAATGGATCAAGTGAGTTGGTATATCATTTGGAAAACTTCACTATTTACATAGCAGATAAAAATTATTTAAAAATATAATTTTCAAACTGAAACTTATAAAAGTTAATAACCTTTGTGAAGATTCTATTTAAACTATATAAAATTTTTTTATTTGTGAATTTTTTACTCTGTTGAATCAATTTGAAAAGAAAAATTGAAAAAATTGTTTTTATAAACTTTATTATTTTATTTTAAAAAAATCTTCATGGATGAATATATTTTAATTTGGAAGAATACATTGTGGCATTCAGTGACGATGGATACATTCAAACGAACACAACATGGAAATGTTCTCCATCAACTCCAGTACTGGATTCAAACAACAACAGCTGGTATGATGTGCATTATGACGATTCAAGCTGGTCTCCCGCCATCCAGCAATTTACAGCAGTAAATTTTGTGGGAGCGATGAAGATATGGTCCAATGATTCCATTAATGCATACTGTCGAAAAAAATTATGCATCTATTGAAACGTCATTTAATGTGTTTGTCACAAACTCCAGAATAAAAGTTAAAAGATTTTTTTACATTTTTGTATAATATTTTAACATAAAAGTTTTTTATGAATTTTTTTCGAGTGTGTCAAATTTTTATAGAACTAAATCCATCTATTTATCAAAATATTTTATGAATTTGTTTGTTGTCAGCACTGGCACTCACAACCATCAATCACGTTTATGTATAACATTTATCATTCAAGTTTAAAATTGAGATGTTTACCAAACATAGTTTTGAAGTAAAATTCTTGCACGTTGTATACACTATACAGTTTACGTAAACAGCTTTTTTTCGGTAGCATTTACAGTCATCATTGAAGACCGCTGCAGCCTTGAGAACCGACCTCCAGCACATCAACTAACGGCCCTACGTACGCGCGGGTGATGGGCTAACATTTTTAGGGCTTTTATTAGTTATAGTTGATTATTTCGGTAAGATAGAAATTTTATTAAATTTTTTACGCTTTTTCATAAACAGTAAATTGTGGTCGTGATAGTTTCTCCTTGATTAGTGCTTTGTTAAACTCAACTATTTTTAATGTATTTGCAATACATATTTAATTATATAGTCAAAAACGTGACTGTTATATTTTAATAATGTAGACAATCATTCATAACTTATTTATTTTTATTTGTTATTTAACTGAATAACTTAATAATTTAACTTGACGGAATAAATGAAAATTATACGACAAAAACCAAACTTGTGTTTCAGTGTAAAAAATTTGTTATCATAGTAGAATGTAAATGTAACAAAAAAAGCGGTTAAAGCTGCTGCTAGGTTTTATGCCGGTGTTCTAAAATTTGAATCAATATGCAATTACATGCAAAATGAATTGCGCTTGTTTCGCATGCCAGAAAGAAAAATTTAAATTAGCTCTGATTGCGAGGAATCGTCTTACAAGAAATGCTCCAGTTTATTTAAAAGAACTTCTGAAACCAGTTTAAGAAGTGACTGGTTGAGTTCGATTAAATTCTTTCATAAACTGCGATCACGCACTACCGCCATTCAAATGAACTCATTTTTAATAGAGAAAGTTTCAGTTTCTCGGCCGAAATTCGGAACGATCTACCTATCGGACTACAAAGTAAGATAAAGATTGGTTGTGATGAATTAAAAAAGTGATTTAGACACCACTTCATCAATACAACCTCTGAGGGTTGATGTAAATCAGCAATACAATACAAAGAGGCATATAATCATCCAAATGCATCAAACATCAAGGCTCTGTGTAGATCGATATCCACATTTCTACCATGCCTCGTAACCCAGTATCCTTCAGCTTAGAAATTGGCTGACACAACAAAAAATTTTGTTACAATAAAAGCATGTTGTTTGAACTCTCAGCCATTACTCCATGCAATCAATTTGGAATGCATGACATTTCATTCTGTGAACAAAGGAATGTTTTTCTAACTGTTCACCCTAGATTGTGCTTTTGTCATCGAAGAATTGTTTTTCAAGTAAAAGAGTCCGTAGTGGCAATAGTTTGAATAATCAATTAATAAATCCTGCGTTTTTTCGGATTTCGTGTTCAGATTTATCGCATTTTGCTCTGGTTTTTGCATCTAAAAACCTAGAAGTTGCGTACGGCAAGCGTCTTATGAAATAATTGGCTATTACTAAAAATCTTTCTGCCTCTATTGTATGAGGAGGGGCTGATTCTATCCGTGATAACGTAAATGAAAGGGGTTGGACAAACTTCGGATTAATAACTCTTTCATCTGTCTAATGATTACTTTGTTGTTGTCGTTGTTTATTATTTTCAAATAAGATGACCTTCTTATTCCGTCTATCTTGAATTTGAATATATGCCTCCAAAACTCTTCCTGATTTCATATATCCCGTTGAATAATTGTTGAACGTTTCCATTTGCATTGTTATCTGAATGAAAAGTAAAATGTTTTTAAATTTATTTTCATTCTTAAAACTTTTAGCCTGAAGTTTAATAGATTTTCTATATGCTTGTAATAAAAATTTTAAAAGCTAACCATTTCTAGCACAACATCAATAAAATCCTCGACGGTAACGAATGCGAGTGTGGACAAATTCGATATTCATTCATTCTACACTTCTCGTTTATTGAAGAATTAAATTGATTAAACGCTAATTATTTATCAAAATTTTGTTTAAAATTGTATTTAATACATTTATTTTGCATTACATCATCAAAAAATTTATTTTTATAGCTTAATCTCGAAAAATACAAGTATTTAAATTTGGTTTTGAGAGTTAAAAGTTAGGCACTTCAATATTTTTTTAATTTACAATCTAAATGTAAATTTAAATGTATTTTTTATTTTCATTTTCGGTTATAATTCAAATTTTCTTTTTTTCTACTCAAATTAACATGACTGATTGGAAAGAGAAAATTATTTCCGATAAATAAATTTAATGATTTCACGAATATCTCTTATTCTTATTGGATAATTAGGTTGTCAATATTTAAAACTTATTTATAATTTTTAAAATCATTTTTTATTTTATTTTTTAATTCAATTTTTTTTTTACCATTGAAAAATTAAATTTTTTATTTAAATTTTTTATAATATAATATTTAAAAATTACCTGAAATAAAAATGAAACCTTCGAAAGGACACAGCGCATACATATATACAAAATACATATAATTTATATTTTATAATAGTCAACACCCAAAAAGCCAAAACAAAGATAACTAGTAAGCTTCTCACAGGGTCAGACTTAACACTTAAGGCAGGGCAGTTAGGGCTATTGCCCGGGGCCTCCAGAATAAAAAAGATTTTTGCCAGAAAACTAATCCCATTTTAATTAACATAATTTAAAAAAAAATAATAAAATTTTATTAAAAAAAATTGCTAACTTTTTTGTCATTATCATACCATGACATATTGGAACTAACAAGCAAATGAAAAGAATTAGAAGTCTACACTATTTTTTTAGGGCCTTCACAAATATTTAAAAATTTTCACCAAATAATTATGGCCTTCCAGTGACTTCCACTTCTTGCCATCCAGAGGTCTCTACACTTTTATATTCGGCTCTAAATTCAACAGTTTGAATGAGTTAAGAAATTAATGTAACACAACAAATTTTGGTTTGCGTAAAAGACAGCTATGTTGCTTGTATTGGCATTGGTATTTGAATTTAGCTTAGCTGATTAAAGATTTGATTGCATACAGTAGACTGGATAGCAAACATCATTTTAGAATTGTTTTTATATTTTCTTTAGTGTGTCCATAATACTTGAGTGTTGTTGCGGGATTTTTTCTGTACGTTCAACTCTGTGTATATGTCATTAATATTAAAATTTCAAGTTAACCAAATTTATAGCGTTAGTTATTTTTGACAAGATAGCTGAAACAAATAAGGAACATTTGTCAAACAACCATTTGTTTTTATTAATTTCATAAACGTAATACATTTATTTTATGCTTCTTTCCAGTACCTTTAAACTGAACACATTCTATCTCTTTAACTTTATCATTTATTAAAATATCCAATTCGTTTTTTTAGCATTTTAAAGCTGTATTAATTTTTCCAAAATGAAAAATTAATCAATATTGTTTAAAAACGTTTCGTTATAAAAAAAATTGAACTAATTGTTAAGAAACAAAGAAATTCGCTAATTACGGCCTTTTCCAATTTCAACTCGTTTAGTTTTTTATACATTGCATATAAACAACCCAAAATGTATATTTAAGTATTTTTCAGTATTATATAATTGTTTAATAGTATCATGTTTCGGGAAACGTTTAGCGACGTAGTCTCATTATTGGTATTATTTCAGTCAAGTTTTGTGAAAAATTGACTTTAAACAATTTATTTTTGGCGTGCAGTCAACTCAAAACATTAGAGCTAAATTTGTAAGTTGGTTATGGTTTCCAGTACATACAAAATTTAAATTGTTCTCAGTCGGACGTGTAACTGCTGAAATTTTCATTACTATTTCATGAATACAGAAGATAGTTCTATTTTATTAATTAGTATATTATTTATTGAGGCAATTTATTGGTTATAAATTTTATTAACAAATTTACGGTGAGTAAATTGGCTTATAAAGCTATCTAATAAACGCAATCTAATTATAACAAGGAGTTATACAAGGAGGTGTGAAGTTACATTTACGATACGATACGATATATTTTATTTGCTTCCAAAATAAGAAAAAAAGACAGGATGACCATGATCAAGTTATCAGGTAACTTATCTAGCATGGCCACCTTACAAATAGTTTTAAAACAAAATGAAATTTGAACTAAAAATTTCGTAAAAGAGAAATAATAATGTTCAGGAACTAAAATTGCTTTACGAATAATCCACTATATTCTTAAAAGTTAAAAATTAAAATTTTGAATTATGGTTCAGTAAATTGTTCTTCAGTTTGTTTTTAAATGTTGACAAAACTTTAGTACCTAAAACAGAATTCAAATCACAATTAATTATTAAGTTATTCCAAATCCGTGGTCCATTGCACAGAATATGAAAAAATAAAATATTCGTTTTTGATTTATTACATCGTATTATGTTTTTGTGCCGATTATTAAAAACAAAACAATAATAATTTGAAAAAATGGTTGGTAACAATCTAGCGTAATGCTTAACAACAAAATTTGCGCATAAATACACATGGAGATTCTTATAGTTCAAATTACGCGTTGAAATAAACAGCTCCTCTGATGGAGCATTAAATTTTGAGCAGGTAATGGTCCTCATTGCTGTTTTCATGAACCGTTGCAGCGGTTGTGTCAATGATGGATACGTCGATGACCAAATGATGTTACCGTAGACGAGGCGATGAAGGCAAATTGAACTGTACAGAAGTCTTAAGGTACATCTTGGTAGAAAGAATTTTATTTTGCTGATTGCACTTAATGATTTGGATACTTTGTTTGTTACGCAACTTATATGCTCTTTGAAGGTTAATTTATTGTCAATTACGATTCCCAAGAATTTTGACGACTTAATTTTTGATATTGTTTCACCATAAACAATAATTTTATAAGGCTCTTTGTGATTTAAGTATTGGACGGGTCCAAAAACCATAAATTTAGTTTTTTTCTTGTTGAGGGTCAGCCTGTTATTTCTGAACCATCGAACAACGGTCTGAACATTATTGTTAATATCATTTACTAATTCATTAATGTTTTTATCACTTTTGAATAGGTTCGTGTCATCAGCATACATCACGTAATTGAATCTTTCTGATGCGTTTGGCAAATCATTGATGTAAATGGCAAACAATAGAGGCCCAAGGATGCTGCCCTGAGGTACTCCCACATTGATCTTTTGCAATTTCGAATCTTTCCCATTCCACCTCACATACTGCAATCTATCACGCAGGTAACTCTCCAACAATCTGAAGACTTTCCCTCGCATTCCATAACGTTCTAATTTTCTTAGAAGAATTTCATGGTCGACGCAGTCAAACGCTTTACTTAGGTCTAGAAAAATGCCAGCGGTAAGCTTTTTCTCTTCGGATGCTTTGCCGATGTTACGAATCAGTTCAATAATTGCCATTTCTGTCGAATATTTTTTTCTAAATCCATATTGATTTTTTTAGATTATGTTATATTTGTCGAAAAAAGATGATAATTTATTATGAATGAATTTTTCATAAACTTTTGAAAAACCTAGTAGCAGTGAGATGGGTCTAAAGTTTGATATTTCATAACTGTTTTTAGTTTTTTGGATTGGTATTATTTTGGCTATTTAAAAAATTTTTGGAAAAATTCCTTCATCAATTGACAGGTTGATGAGATATGTGAGAATCGGCAATATTGAATGTATCGTGGCTGAAATTATTTTCGTTGAGATGTTGTCATATCTACATGATGATTTCGGTTTCAGAGATCTAGTTGCTTGATATACTATATCTCATAGATGCTTTCACCATCAGCAGATTTTTTAAAAGATGTTTTGCATCTGACGACACGGTGTTCCACGCTGTTGATGATAGTTCGTACTAACTTACACGAAGCTCTCGAAATAAATCTTCCTGTAAAGAAAAATTAGTAAAAATGTTTAGTTGAAAAATGCCATAAACAATTATTTCGTTTAACAAACTAATGATTAATAAAATTACCTTGCAAAAATCGCATTTGCGGTCGTTGTTGAGGCACACGCAGTCAACAGCTGTGGCAGCCACGACTGACAATGAGCACGTGAATGTTTCGAACATCACTACTCCGAGACTCCACATATCGCATCTCTTGTCGTAATAATCATTCAAGCCCAACCACAGGCCTGCTACCTCTGGTGCCATGTAATTGAATGTTCCAGCCTATTTCGTTCAAAAAGTTTTATAACAAATAATTAACTTTGTTAGAAATTTTACTTGAAAGTTTAGTGCCAAAAACAGCGTTGAGCAATTTATTTTTTAAATCTGGACTTTTTGTGTACTAACAACGTATAAGAATTTGTCCCCTTCTACACATAATCCCATATTTTGAATGAGCTATAGTTATGGTGAAATTATAAACATTATCATCTATAAAAAGCAAATAAAACTAACGTTCTATTTTCTGCATAATGTTCAATCAGTTGAATTATGTTTTCATGATTGGCACATTGTTTTAGAATTTCGATTTCGTTGTTTATATTGGATCGTTTCTTTTCATCGTCAGCCGAAATTATTTTAACAGCACGTTTTTTCCTTGTTAATTTGCAAATGAAGGTTTCTACAGATCCAAAACTGCCTCTGGCTAAAAATTCATCTTTGCTCTTGCTCATCCATTACAAATCATTTTGTTTAGTTAATTTTATGCGTTGTAAATTTATAATTGAATGAAAGTTTTTGGTTCGTGGTAGGAAAAAATATTTAAGTTTGTACTGAATCATTTTAGTTTGACAAATTCATAAGTACTTGTCAATACAAAGCTTTTAATGTTTCAAACAGAATTTCTTGTTGAAATTCATTAAAAATATTTTAGCTAAGATGTTAAACTCGTTATTCAACATGAAATCAACATGAAACCACCCATACAAGAGTTATAATTTGTAGAGCTGGATTCAAAACTGAGATAATTTAAAAACGTTATACAGCAGTATCTATTGGTCGACTGTCTCATCTTTGCGTCTGCATCGGTTGTGATAACTGTTTTTGGCAAGACGATACACCAAGACTGTCTTCTTGATGTTGCTATAACATCTCTTTTTTATTATTTTCAATAAGTTTTTTTAAAAATTTAACAAAAATTTAAAATAGACATTTCTTTTTAAAAAGAATAAACAAATAATAATTTCTAACCAAGCAACTTGTGCTTTGATAGTTTTTTAGATTGCAGGTGGGACCGATTTAGAAATAAAAGTGTTGCTTACTTTTGTAAAAGTCTTTATATCATTATTTTTAAAAAATAGGGGAGATTGGGGCACATTGACAATTCTTTTTACCAAGGGCGTTGCAACTAAACTAAATGAGTTTAAAAATGCATAGATTATTTTCTGATGGGTCAGATGAGTGAGCCGACAATATGGCTTATAAGGGGCTCAAATAAATAGTACCTACTAACAATTGTAACAATTGCAGCTATACGAATCTACTCAAAATTTTTCATTAGTTATCTGGTTACCGCAATTCGCATGTTGCATTATGATAGTGCTTTACAAAGAATATGCTTCTTTTGCTCTATCAAGCACCTATGCTGAAAGGGCTTTGAGTAAGCTCAGAATTATTAAAAAAACCGCTTATGGTATATTATGGTATAAAATGACTTTGTGTGACTATATTTCTCAGTTGAAAATTTAAAAGAAGTTTGAATTAGGTTTTCAATTTATGTGTTTCCTTACATAGACATTTTTAGCTAATTTCAAATTTTTTTTAACTTTTCAGGCTTTGCGCATCTGTATCACGGAATTACCAGATTCATTAGCCTAAGTAAAACAATTCAGATTCGGATGAGCTACTATGAAGCATCATAAAAATGCAGCATCATATCAGTTTTTGTTGTTTGAATCGAATGATGAAAAACCACTGATTTATTATTCTAAATTTTGGACTAAACAAATTCCTCTTAGATAGACTTTTTTTAGTTTTTAACATAATATCGTTAGAAAACATTTTAATTTATCCGTTGATTTTTCCAAAAAACAAATTTAAAAAAAGGGTGCAGCAAAACCTTGCGTGCTCTTTTCAACCAACCTCCAATAATTAACACTATGCATATAAGTTTCTTTACTAAAAACAAATTGAACTAATGTTACGTTATCCTTATCATTGTCTAATTTACTTACGAAAGTATTGCATTTTAACGACGTAATATTTAAGGCATGTTTATTAACATAGCCATTGCTGTTTTGAAGCCATAAAGATAATAAACACTTTAATTTTTGTTTAGTTTATAAATGAACGTTAACATTACTTTAATTTGGACAAGTGATAAAAACGATTAAATTCATTTCATTTAAATTCTACCTGACAACATCCAAATGCGGTAAAATTCCATAAAACTGAGAAACATTTTAATTTCGTCGAATTAGATATTTTTCTTCGGCGTCAAAGTTTGAACAGTCATGAACATTAACGCCGAGTCGTTATTATTTAATAAAATATTATATTTATTTTAGACTTTGTTTAGACAATTCTGCGTTTGAGAAAAAGACAGTTGGTGAGAATCTAGATTGTTATTTTTAAATTTATTATTCTTTTTTATTCTTCGCTTTTTATATCCTTCTGATTATTTTAGTAAAACCAAACATTTTTTGCATATTTTCATATATTAATAAATCTTAATAAAGCCTGTTTTTAAAAATATGATTAAAAATAAAAGCAAATTCTCGCCAAGGTAATACATTTTTTTGAAGGTATTTAATCGGAAGCGTGGAGCGGATCGGGAGCAAGTGACAACTTTAAAAAATGCTTAATGGAAAATTCGACAGAAATATATATTAACAAAGTTATCAAAATATCTCTTTAATGTGCTCCTGAAAACTTAACACTGAAATAAATGTGTAAACTAAAAAGATTCATCAAGCAAAAATAAAATAAAAGAAATCAACGGAAAATTCCCTTGCTTGAAACAGTACATACCCTCCCTACATCATGATTTATGAGGAATCAAAAGGCTCACATGGTGGTCCTCCTTAATTTGTTTTATGACAGCATCTTCATAACTGTGATCATCTCTTGGAGATCCTCGTAGATGGCACAATTCTTGCAAACTGTTTTCTTGAAGTACTCTAGATATACCACGACATCTTGCCAGTGCTGTTCAAATAAATTAGAAAATCAATTGTTGGATGTTATTTCAATATTTTCAAAAATATCGATGCACAATAAGAGTGCGTTTTTAAAAATTCAACTTACAGCGAGAGGCATGTCAAGATATTTTTTGATGTATTCTTTGTTGTTTATTATTTTCAAATAAAATGACCTTCTTATTCCGTTTATCTTGAATTTGAATATGCGCCTCAAAACTCTTCTGGCCATCCTAAATCTCGTTGAATAATTGTTGAACGTTTGCATTTGCGTTGTTATCTGAACGAATAGTGAAAAGTTTTTAAATTTATTTTCATTCATAAAACTTTTAACCCGAAGTTGACTGTTGAAAAATATTGTTGCATGGTGATTGTTGAGGGAAATTGTTGCTTGGCGTTTGTTGAATGAGACTGTTGCCTGTCTTTTGGCAGAGTTGACTGCGAATATGATGCCGAATTCGCAGTTTCATTGTCGTTACCTTTTTCTTCCGACAATTTGAGTCTTTTGTGACCGCTGGTGCATTTTCAGACCCTTACGTCCCTTGCAGAATTTACCAGAGCAACATTTAATTTTTTTTTGAACAGTTTTATTTACAAAAGTAAAAAGATTCATCATAGCAATAAAATACTAATTTATGGATGGCCTCATGAACAGAATAAATCTCAACTAATTCAACAGAATTTACACATAACCAAGAATAAAAATATCAACTGAAAAATTAAGCAATACATAAATATCTAGAATAATTGTAATGAAATTAAAAATTAGGGATAACAAAAAAAGAGAAATTGAGTCAATCTTATAATTATGAAATAAAATAAAACAATTTACGTTACAAACAGCATAAAAAATATGTTTTCAATTGTTTTTTGAAAGAATTGTAGATTACATTAGATTTAATATAGTAAGGCAGTTTATTCCAATAGAGCGGACCATAACAATAAAAATTTCTTCCTACAAATTTATCTTTAATTAATAAAGTGTTAATTAATAGTTTGTTATTGTGCCTAGACGAAATGTTGTTTTTGTTAAATGTAAGAGTTTGTTGTAAGTGATTGTCAGAAGTAAAAATAATCTTATTAACAATTTTATATATATATAGACAGGATTTATATGAATTAATTTCAAATATTGTTAAAATGTTATTCTCATTGAAAATGTTTATATTTGAAATAAAAAAGTTCTTCCGAAATAGATACGAGACAAATCTTTTTTGACTCGAAAATAACTTATTTATCGTTGTTAAGTTATTATTATTATTTGTATTTGTTGAATAATTATTAGGAGAATTCTAATTAAAAATACTTGCAGAGATTTATTATAATTTTTAAAATGGCGACATATTCCCTACAACTCAGCAAATGTACCAAACTAATATAAGACTAATTTAAAAGCTTTAAAACCAAAATAATTCTTAAAAAACAGCGAGCTGTATGCTTTCGGCCCGCTCTCGTATTTTGTACTTCTGTTTAAAAGTAAACAATAATTCACAGACATGGGTTATGTAGCATTATAATTCCACCATAACCCATCATACGTGTAGGATGGGTGCTTTCGCGTGCCCGAACGTAATGTGCATGTGCATGCTTGGTATGGATAGTACAACCTTTGTGGCGCGAAAGTTTAATTAAAAGTGA